CAAACAGTTTCAGACATACACAAGGCTAAGGACAAACTCACTGCATTTCTTTTGAAATATAATGTAATATTATAAAATAATTCCCTTTAAATCGGCTAAAACGAACCCCTTCCCCCTATTAGTCCGGTTTTAACGAGGTTTTACTGTACAGGTACAGGTATCCCTTTATTTACTATAGACTTACGTTCCTAAGCTTTAACATAAATCAAGTTAACGAAATTGGGATCCTTTTAATTGGTTTTAATGGGACATGTTCCTGCCTGACTGACACAGACATGTAACACAGAAAATAGGACTGTAAATTAAAAAATAAACAACACTCACCACATTAATATAATCGAGTCTGTTGCTTAACAATGTCTAACTTTATCTCCAGAGACACGTTCTTCTTTAAAGCTTTTCCCCAGAGGTGGGAGAGTCGGCAGGACACTTGCTAGCTGTTTTCTGAGTTATAGAGTTACTGTACACTAATCACTTCACAGTCATGGAGCACAGACCAAGGTGATAAAGGTGGAAACGAGATTTGTATCCCACTATGACTCTTACTCAGGAAATCTTTGGATCAGGATAAAGCCCGAGGACTGGAAATTAGTCAACGTCACCCCAGTATACAAAAAAGGCAGGAAAAGTACAGAAAAACTACAGGCCGATGAGCCTAACATTACATATATGCAAACTCTTTGAGAATATCTGAAGGACGCCAACATCCAACACTTGACCGAACACAGTCTAATCAACGCATCATAACACGGTTTCATGGAAAGAAAATCCTGTCCGACAACTTACTCACGCTCTCCTTGAAACAGTAACAGACTACGTGACCAAGGCTCACCGTGGATGTGTTGTACAGTACAGGGATTTCTCCAAGCATTTGACGAACTCACACGCTGGACTAGCTCTAAGATCCAGGCAAATGGCATCACAGGCAAGATTTTGACGAGATTAACAATTGGCTGAAAGATAGGCAACAAAGAATAGAGTACAGTACATTCTGCATGAAAGTTCAAGGAGTCCCCCAAGGCTTTATCCATGGACCACCTTGTTTGTGATATACATAAATGACATGAAAATATATCAAGCCCTATTGTCAAGTTTGCAGACAACACAAAGATATTTGGGAAGGTTTAAATCAAGACGATGTCGCAACAATGCAGGAAGACCTGCATGAGCTGTTAAATGGTCTCAATGCTGGCAATGCTCTTTAACATATGAAATGCAAGACCCTACAATGATACAATAACCCTAATCACAACTATTCTGTTATTAACACTTTCCTGGATACTGCTGATAAGGAGAAAGATCTGGGCGTTATGATGAATCATTCACTGAAGGCGGCAGAACAAGTCACAAGTGCCACTGGGCATTAGTGAGAAAAGCAAATTGAGATCTGGAAATTTTAAAGCAAATCTCAAGAACGTCCCAGTGGTCTCAGTCTGGATTACTGTATACAGGCATGGAAACCCTACCTCAGAAAGACTTAACATCCCAAGAAAAGATGCAGCACAAAGCAGATCTCAATGTAACATTCAAAATAATGAAAGGGATGGAAAACGTGAACCCAGGACATTTCTTTTGTGACGTCATGCACCACCAACACGAGGACATAATTACAAGCTTGCCTAATTATCATGCAAAATGAATACTGTATAAGGAAATATTTCTTCACACAGAGGCTGGTTGATCTATGAAACAGTCTACCAGCTCAACCTGTGGAATAGAGAACATCTTCACACAGAGGCTGGTTGATCTATGAAACAGTCTACCAGCTCAACCTGTGGAATAGAGAACATCTTCACACAGAGGCTGGTTGATCTATGAAACAGTCTACCAGCTCAACCTGTGGAATAGAGAACAATACTGCTTTCAAAATAGCTCTTGACAAAATTATCAAGAACAATGGAGGGATCCTACACAGGCAACTGGCCTAACGCATTAGTGATTACAGACAAACAGAACCTAGTACATCACTATACTGTAATCATAGGTAATCTTTCATCAGGTTAAATTTGTTTTGTAAGTCACAGTATTGGGGTTTAGGTCTACTATACTCATGTTCTTACAAGGCTACAGGAGACATTCATACTGTACAGTGCTAAGTTAACTCTTTTCTTCTTTCTCCCATTAGTTTTCTTCTTTAAATTAAAATAAACATTCAGTAAATTGACACATTAACAGTATCTCCAAATAAGTTGGCATCTTGTCTCCTTAACCTGTATCATTGTAATTGTTTAGTGAGTTGAATTTTTTCTTTTTTGAGTAAACAGATGGTGTTAGTGAAGGCTATGGGTGACAATGTTGTCCAATTAAAGCTCAAGTTTTTACATAAAATTACAATCATGTTCTCATTCATGACAACACAAAGAAGAACGTTTATTTCATACTGTACTTACAGTAATGAGACAAATGTTTTTATCATATAATTAAGTTGCATGTTAATATTTTTTTTATGTTGGCAGATATTGAACCACTACCTTATTTTTATATAATTGATGTGGGTAATGCAGTACAGTAGGGTCGGATATATAGTGACTTTATATAACGATTTTTATATGCAGCTACCAAAATTATCAACATTCCTATTTATATACAGTAAAGGTCAAAAATCCGGATGAAATCGGACCACGAACCCTGACTTTTTCAAAAACTTACAATTTGCGGCGGGCTTTTATGGTACGTGAATGAATGAATTCCTTAAAAATTAATTTACATAATTCTAATAATAAAAGTAATTGTAAATTATAGGTAGCTAATTTTGTTAGTTTTGTAATTAGCTTGTCCTCAAATGTAATTTGAGCACTATAAATCTTTGTGTGTATGTGTGCATGCCTGAACGCCTACAGCGACAATATGGCGACCAGCGATAAGCCGCACTTTAAAACCACGCAATCAAACTTTGACAACATATGTAATTTGGGTCCTACTCTTTCCATTTACAGAGTACAAGCCCATAATAATGGCTCCTAAACTAGATAAACCGTTGGATGAAGAAAGAACACGTTGAATTAGGTGACAAACTTGAAATAATTAAGAAACTAGAACGTGGTGAGCAATACTGTTCTAATGGAAACAAACGACATTGGAAGTCTACAATTTATGATATAAAAAAGAATAAAATTAGAATTCACAACTTCTTCTGAGTTACAATAAAATTGCTGAAAGAAAAAAGTTTACATTGGCCCAAATTAGAAAATCTTGATAAAGTGTTGCACGAATGGTTTTGTTAAAGCGATCAGAAGGTATGGCAATTTTGGGCTGATGTATTGCCAAAGAAAGTCTTTTAAGGAGCAAATGGACATTGAATCAGAGTGAGCATTTAGTGATGGATGGCTTGAATTTCAAGACTCGTCATGGTATTAGACAGTTTGTTTACATTTTTGTCAAGTGTTGACTTTATTTTCTTTAAACTGTTGGTTTTGATAAATGAAGCATGCTTTATTTGCTTATGAATAAACTCTCAAAATGTACCTGTTCATCTCTTCTTTATTCTTCCTTAAATTTGAATATTAAAAGTACTGCCTGAATCCGGAAAATCCGGACCCACCCAATCCCCAAGCAGTCAGTTTTTTGGACTTCTACTGTATAGCGATAATTTTTTTTATTTCAGCGAGGAAATCGGGCAGGAAATATTTCAAACTTATCACTCACGGTACTACCAAAATTATCGAAATTTTCCAATACGTATACAGGTACAGTGGTCCTCGGCTAACGAACACAATTTGTTCCACAGAGTTGTTCGTTAACGAATCCATTGTTTCAATGGGATATTGGGTAGTGGTTCCAGCTCACAGGCTTTGGTGGGTGAGTCAAGCGGCTGATGGGTGCACAAAAAACTAGTTCCCTGTACTGCATATGTTATCAATATGTTAACTACATTTTAAAATGACTAATAATTTTAATATAAAAAATGCAAAAATATTAAAGATCACAACTTTCTTGATATTTACTCCACTGGAAACGAATGTAAACATAGAACAGATTACTGAATTGGCAGACTAGCCCATCAGCTGATGCTCACAAGAAAACGTGTTTGTCGTAAGGATTTCGTTAATCGAAGTTTTGTTCGTTAACCAAATTCAAGATCCTTATGGGAGGTAATTCGTTAACCGAAATTTTTTTAATCGAACCGTTCGTTAACCGAGGGACCACTGTATTGTGATAAATTTATTTACAGTAGACTCACAACTTACGTGGGGTTATGTTCCTGCGACCTCACATGAAGCCAAAAACTGTATAAAGTCAGAAACACTCACAAACAGTCCCTAAATAGCCCCAAAAATATAAGTTTAAATATTTTTATCTCCTGTGAAAAATATATTATGTCTATATTCAAATTATTCACTGTCTTGCAAGGATTCCAGCAATGAAATTTATTTTCTGCTAACTTTAGTCTGTGACATTTTATAAGATAAACCCTTTAAGCCTAAGACCACTTTCACTCTTGCCAGAACTGGAGAGAAGAGTTGAATTATACGACAGCTGGGCAGGAGCCAGGCAATGGTTACTTAGTGGGATTTATTTATCTGTCATATAGGGGGAGTTTGTGTTTTTCTCTTATAAAATGTCAATGAATTAACTTAAGAGAATATAATTAACATTGCTGGAATTCTTGTGAGATAGTGATTAATTTAAATATAAACATGTTATAGTTTACAACAGACATAAACATTTTAGTACTAATTAATACTGTACCTTTTAGTTGAAGGACTAAAATTTTATCTCTTGTGCAAAATATATAATGCATATACTATATTCAAATTATTTGCTGTCTTGCAAGGATTCCAGCAATGCAATTTATATTCAACTAACTTTAGACTGTGCCATTTTATGTCAAGTTTAGTCACTTTTAGTGGCCTCCAGAACCTAACCCTATTTTCCCCATTGATTACATGGAATTATATATCGCGATTTAGTATATAGCGAACATCCTTGGACCCTATCTCGTGACATATCCCGACCCTACTGTATCTATTTTAATTTATAATATTTATATGTGATTTCAGGGACACAGAGGTGGCCAACACATACTTCCTCCTGCAGCAGAGGAAGGGGTCAGGTAGTGCTGCATCACGGGGCCTTGCAGGACTGTTGGTGGGGACTCTGGACTCTGTGTTTGACACTAAGCCGCCTCCATTTCGAATCTTGCATCAGACACCTTCCTCAGAAATATATTACAGTAAATATTTCCTTCAGGTTTAATATTTGATTTATATAATATACTGTACACACAAGCGTGGAAAATGGCCATAAGATGATGGTGACTGGGGAAGACTGAGTAAATAATCCAGTACTGTATTTGAGGTTTTGATGAATGTAAGTTTGTTAATAGATTTAATACAGATATATTTCATGGGATTCTACCTGGATTATCTTATTTGGTGATGCAGGTGTAGGTAGATGGGACATTGGCTTCATAGTTAGCAATATAATTAGGAATATGAATACTGTATACAACTGAGATATGCTGAACCCTTTGATTGTTCGAGCCTCACCAGACCTGTGTGTGTGTGTGTGTGTGTGTGTGCGCGTGCGTGTGTGTGTGTGCGTGCGTGTGTGTGAAGGGGTGTTGTTTGAGTGTCTTCCTGCCGCTCTCTAATCTTATCATTCTTCCACAGTCCTTCCTTCTCTTATCCCACATTCTCTGCCTCACTCAAAGTCGTCGTTCACTGTTGTGGGAAGATCTTGCGTAACTATTTATATTCTCATTGATGGTTATTGTTTACCAAGCTTCACACTTCTCTAATTAAGCTTTATATTTTATGAATGAGTGGTGCAGTATTAGTTGATTACCAGAAATAAGCTTGGAATGTTCACTTTGATTACCAGAAATAAGCTTAGGATAGAATGTTTTATAATGTTTACTTTGATTACCAGAAATAAGCTTAGAATGTTTACTTTGATTACCAGAAATAAGCTTAGAATGTTTACTTTGATTACCAGAAATAATGTTAGAATAGAATGTTTGAAGAATGTTTACTCTGACTGGACTTAGATAGGTAATGTGACTGTTGTTGGTGTCTCTCATAGTTATAGCCGTGTCTCTCAAGAAGGAAGAGATAGATGAGAACTGGGCGTGGCTGGAGCGTAACCTCATGAGCATCCTGGCCACGTTCGACAAGGATGAGGACGTCTCGGATTTTGTTCGGTGCAAAATCGAGTCTCTCGTCGCCAATTCGATCGTGACGGATCCGCACAACACCCCAGGTACAGTAATTCTGATTCATACACTTTGTAGATATAGTTGTATACTACTGTTTGATTATTTATTTAGGTGTGCTGGTATTGTACAGTAATTTTGAGTTGGTGGTGATATTGTGAAGTTCTTGTCGTGTTTTAGATATACTGGTACATGTATACATTGAAAAATATACAGCAGGCCCTTAAAATTCGTGGGAGTTAGGTTCTCAAACTGGCCTCGAATAAATCGGTAAATAACATTTGCTGACCAGGGGAAGGGGGTACATTTTTACTCATGTGCAAAGAAATGTATATTGCCTTTTTGAGTCTACCCTCAAGTCAACACCGTGCTTTGTTATTAAAGTTATGGGAAAGCGTGGAATTGACTTGAGGGTAGACTAATATTTTTAATATTTTTGGTTGTCTTGCTTCTGATTATTTGTGAGAGGATTTTTCCATTATTATTTATTTGTATGTCTCTATAACGAATGGCTCCCTGTCCCGGCCACTAAGATTACCAACTTTAAAACTAACCTGAGGCATTCTTGGGTACATCCAGGGTGTCATCCGCAAATAATCAAGGTCCTCGAATTAAAAATCCACGAATTGTCAGGGCTTGCTGTATAAACTAGTTATTTTTATACTCAGTAGTGGAGTTATGGTCGTACAGTGTTTATCATGTACTCTGTAGTGGGCAAGAAGAGGATGCAGCAGAAGTGTGGTGAAAGAGGGAGTAACAGTGGGGGGAAGAGGAGCTGTAATTAATATGATCTGCTGGAGTACTTGTCAATATCTTGTAGAATTTTATAACCAGGAGTTCCATTTTTACACACTAAGAGTTTTGACCTCCGATCTGGAAATTTGGGTGGAAGTTTATGTCACCTTTACTGATTATCTAATAATTTATATAATCTTGAGTATCGTGTAAATAGCTTGAGTCAGGTTGTGTCCCCGGGAGGAGGAAGGTAGAGAGACAGTTTATTGACTACGTATTTTAGTGTTTATCTGTCGGGTGGTGATCACGTTACTCTCATTTATTTGGTTTTTATTTTCAGATCCAGATTCAGATACATTTAAAGCCATTTCTTTCAAGTTTAAGAAGTTGTTCAATATGCCTGAGGGAGAGAAGCTTGTTAACTATTACTCCTGCAGGTGGGTGGTGTTTGTCTCTCCTTAAACTTATAGAAATAATAATGACACTTATGATGATGATGATGGTACAGTATAATGAAAATGAGAATTGACAAGGATTGTGTTATTATTAATAGAACAGTAATGATATGTTTTCAGGGGTGGAATTGTCTTACACAACAGGTCATGAACGTTGTATGCATTATCACTCGTGTTTGTTGCAGTTACTGGCACAACCGTCTGCCGAGGCAAGGTTGGCTGTACTTGAGCGTCAACTACCTCTGCTTCTACTCCTTCCTCCTCGGTAAAGAAACGCGCGTCATCGTGCGCTGGAGGGACGTGACGCTGCTCGACTGCACCAACGCCCTCATCTTCCCCGACAGTATACGCGTGTCGACTCGGGACCACGAGGTGAATGCCAATGTCTTTCTTCTATCCTCAAGTCCATGCTTATTTATATGGACTCAGTCACCAAAGTGCATCAGGAACAAAACACTCTAAATATACAAAACTAATCATTAACCTCCATACTGTTTATACCAGTTCTTTCTGAATACTAGATTGAGTCATAAGAACCAACTAGTCTATTTGTGGGAAGTTCAGTGTTAATTAATAGATACGTTTTATTACAGCATTACTTCTCAATGTTGCTGAGGAAGAAGGAGACTTATGAGTTGATGGAACAGCTCGCTAACATGGCCATGAAACAGTAAGTGACTCTTGGGATACTTCTTGTTGTCTTTTGTGTTCGTAAATCCACATGTCTTTCACTCAAGTCTTACCCAACATTGTACAGGATGGCTACAGTCGAATGCAAACAAATACATGGAGTATTCTATCTTTTGCTGCCATTCAATGTTGCTTTTATTACTGTCATGAATGTGTTCTGTTATGGTATTTCCTTTCCACAACGAGGCCCCAGACACCTTGGTAAATCCCAGTCACTCCAGCCAGCACCACCCATCAGAAGCACATTCAGTGGTTTGGTGTTGCCTCTGAAGGTCACTCATTAACCTTGATGTCCCCAAAACACAAGTCAAGTTTTATGGAATTTTTGATTATTTTGAAATTTTGACTTTATTTACAAGTTGTGTCAGGGTTCGTGGTGCAGGAGTTTGGTTGTGGCTCTCAGAATTGACGTATTTTGTATCATGAATAGTCACTGGTCTTGCATTTAGATGGACTAAACTATACCAAGCAGAGAGAGGGGATCATCATCTGCTCAAGGTCTGACGTGCTCCCTCTTCCCAGTCTGAGAACATGAGGCTGGCTGTCCCTCACTTGCTGCCTTTACTCAACAAACATGAGAGAAAATAGTCGTGATTCTGACCATCCTGCATTATAGCGGGAAAAAAGCTCAAGAGGTGTGAAAATAAGAATAGGAAAGATACAAAACAAAAATAAGATAGTGGAGTTAAAGGGTGAATTGCGTGAACTCTGTATCAGTTGCCATAGTTCATCATGCATATTACATTTATATTTTGAATTTTTGCATCATTGGAATTATCTATTTTTTCCTCATTTTAATATTAATATGCACAAGTTGTTATTGCACGGGTTTGATCTTGTCTTTTATCTTTGGGGCGGAAAAAGGTAAGGAAAAAAATAAAGGAATAAATAATGTAAATATCTTTTGAGTATGTAGGGCCTAGAGCTGCTGGGATGTATGTGTATGGTACACCAGTAACAAGCATACCTCTCACTACCATGTCCTGGGTTCAATCCTCACCCCGAGTTGGATATGAGAAGGGTGTTTTATCCAGTGTGACTCCTACCAAATATGGCAGGTATTTCCCAAGGGACAATAAAGGTCAATAATGGCTAATAAACTGATAAGCGTTGAGATTGATAAAGGCAGTTTACACAAGGAACCAGACATAGAGATATACTAATAAATAAACAATACAACTCAATAGTTAGACTGACAAGTATAGCACTTTATTTAGCACAGTTATAGGATTTGATTATTATCTACACGGTATTTCCACTTACAAGTGACTCACAGTGAAGGGGTGGTAGAGGAAGTGGATTTGGGTCAGTTATTCATTTTCCTTCCTGTACAGATGGTAATGGTGTAGAGTTGTTTAGTGAGATTATATACCAGTGTGTATTTGTTTATATCCCTGTATGTACTGTAAGAGAAAGTGTTGGGAGATAAGTGGAGAAAGTGACAGGGAAGTGCCCCAAAAATATGTAGGAACACCACTCACACACACACACACACACACACACACACTCACTTAAACCTGTTCCTTGTAAGTTTTATTAATTGCTTTTCATTTATTATATTTCAGGTTAATCAACGATGAAGAGTTTTCAGAAGATAAGGAGTTGTTGACAAAAGTGAGGTGAGTTACGGTCCAGTGACAACCTCCCTGCGTGTTCCCCATGATGAGTATAAGAGGCAGTACTGTGTGGCCCTTACCAGTGTAGTTGACCAGTTAAGGGATGGTGTCAGAGGTTCAGAATTTGTACAGTAGTGTGTGTGTGTGTGTGTGTTTTAGAGAAGACTCTTAGATTAAGTCCATGACCTAAGATATCAGTGTCAAAGCCAGCCGTGAACCTCAGAACTTAAAACATGAATTAATGTACTGTGCAAGTTTAGGAGTTGAGAGCTGCTGGCATGGTTACATTATAAACAGTTTCTTTTACACACACACGCCCACACACACACTCCCACACACTCCACACACCCACCCACCACACCCACACACCTACCCACCCACCCACCCACCCACCCACCCCTGGTATAACCTCTAATGTTCACTATTGTCTTCATGTCCTTTTACTTGTTTCAAGATTTAAAAATAAATAAAATCTGCTGAAATGCCTTGCAATGACGAGAACTGTATACTGAAGACACAAACAGACCGGCCACTCTCTAAACAGGCAAGATATATGAAGAGACGGTTTTACTCAGCTGGGGTCTGGGCCGGCGGTACAGGGTCTCGGAAAGAGTGAGCTTACTGTGACAATTCTGGAAAAGTGTTGTGCTGTTTTAACTCCTTAGGCCCCGGTGATGCTCCAGAGCGCCTTTTCCCCCGCCACCGCTTAAATGCCCAGAGCAGGTTATCAGGTTCCCCGTAGATTATTTGCCTGTCACACCACACTCGCCACAGGGAAGCTTCTTGGTAAATAACTTCTTTTGTTTGTTTATTTTCATTATTTGTCTCTTTTATCATGTTGTATCAAAGTAATATTACTAAAAGTTGTGTAGTTTTATTTTAGTTTAGTATTACTAGATAATTATGTTATAAATGTATTTATTTTTGGAATTATTATTCCGATAATTATTTGTATGACGTACGTGCTCTCCCAAACATAAAGCCTGATGACTGACTGTGTGTGTGTGTGTGTGTGTCGCTGAAAACTTATTATGAAGAGTAATGCTAATAAAATGAAGTCTAAATTAATTATTTATGGGAAATAAGCATTATGATCAGTAAAGAAATGCATAATTGGCCAACTCGGACACAATGGCAAGCGGGTAAGTGACCCCTAAGTGTGTAGTGACAGTGAGCGCTCAATGTAAAAAAAAACTTTCCCCTTATTTGTCTCATCACTGAGGTGCCACTGAAGAATATAGAGGGACAATGTATAGTTTTTCTTACGTTTTTTTTATTGTTTTATCATTTATGAAGGTTAAAAATTATTTTTGGAAAAGTTGATTTTTCGCGTTTTACCCTGCGGGGTTATGGCCGGCGGCACCCTAGCCCGGGGCGTAAGGGTTAAGCTCGTTTGGGGTCGACGCTGCTTTATTTTGGGAAGGGACGAACTTTTGACCTCGACTTTACGGTGTCTTTGAGCTGTTGGAAACGGTTTAATGGCAGAAATGTCTTTATTGTGAGTGTGGGTGAGGCAGGCAGGTGATAATCTTTAATTACCTCAGGAAGTGGAGTAGGGACCAGGCCTTATCAGTTAAGAGAACACTTGAAATAACACTCTGTAATACTGGGTTGGTGATAGTAAGGTCATCCAGCCATAAAATTGCCTTCTTTGAGCGATGGCAACTATGACATCGGGTAATCATAGTTCACCAAACCAAGCATGGAAAATGGTGGCGGTGATGATGCTTTACTGGACAAATAAAAGATTAACATTGGACTTGATTTCACTGACAAAGGAAGGTGATTCACTTATGTGTGTTAGTATCTTATCTCCTGAACTAGGCGTGTAATCTGCTTTACAAAGTCATCTAATCTCTTTAACAAGGCGATCAGAGTTTAGTTTATTAAAGTAGTATGGAATAAATTACACGACCACCCAGAGGAAACTAAGAGTCCTGATAATTATGTATTTGCATATATACATATGCAAATACATATTTTAGTAATTTATGAGCTAAAGTGCATATTCATATACTGTACAGTAGTTTTTGTTTTATAAGGCATATTTTAGGAAAACTCTGTGACATAATACAGGTAAATTATTAATCCTTCTGTGATATTTAAAGTCATAATGTCCAAAAGGAACATATGTACTTAAGTCTATATGGCTCAGAATCAAGCTGTGGTTAGGCTAGACCATAATTGCTTGGCCAATGGACTAGAACTGTATGTGATTGGTTCGTGTTCAACCAAGCGATTTGCCAGTTTATAGCTGCTCGGGGTCCACCAGTTCCTTGTTTGGCTCCTGACACAGAGGTGTTGTGTATTTTATATTTAATCTTCTTTAAGAAATCTTACTTATGGTGACATCCTGTCTGAGGCAGTAAATTTACTGAGAAAATGTACCGTAGAGTAAGTTATTGACTCATTTTAAGGTACACACATACTGTATATCCTCAATTTTTGCTGTATATTTGGATTCATATTTAGCCATTTTTAAGAGCATAATTATCCGGAACCTAAATATTTATAACACTAATTTTTTGGTGCACCTGAAAAATCTCCATCCCAGTTTGTCTCACCTGAAGATTAACCACCCTAATAGTATTTGAGGGATGAAGTTAGGTGAGGAGAAGCTATGATATGTTAGAATAGGATCAGTTTGGTTAGGATAAATTAGATTACGGTACATTAGGGTAGCTTAGGATAGAGGTTAGGTTACATAATGTTAGGATATACAGTGTAATAAATTAGGTTAGGATGGGATAGGCTAGGTTAGGAGAGCTAAGTTAGGTTAGCATCGGTGGTGCCTGCACTTCAGCACCTCAGCTACCCTGAGAGATTGGAGTGCCTGAACTTGCCTAGCTTATACTACAGACGGGCAAGGGGTGACCTATTTGAGGTGTATAAGCATCTCAAGGGGCACTACTCAGTCGAGTGTCCTTACTTGGAGCTGGCGGACGCTCGCCCCACAAGGGGTCACAGCTCAAGATTGAAGAAGCCGCAGGTCCAGAAAACTGTGAGGGCAAACTTTTTCCGAGTGAGAGTTGTAAACTCTTGGAACAATCTACCAGAGAGTGTTGTGACGGCACCGAGTGTGAGCTCTTTCAAGACCAGACTTGACCAATACTGGAGCAGGTTCAGGTGCATTCAGGAGCTGGTTCATGCTTAGTACTTGCCAACAGTGCATAACAGAGACGTGACTGATCACCCAAGCGGCTAACGAGCCGATCAGTGGTGAAGAGGATAAAAGTAAGTAAAAAGTTAACTTTTAGGTGAAATAAACTGGGATGGAAATTCTTCAGGTTATCCAATATTTTTAGTCCTTTTTCTAACTAAGACATTGATTAGGATTTTTATTAAGTGTTGTGCTGCTAAAATTAAACTTGGTGGACTTATTATCACTGTATTTAGTCCCTGGTAGTTTGTCTCCCAGGCTGGAGGAGGTGGTGGAGGAGGAAGGGGAGGAGGTGGTGGAGGGGAGGAGGAGGAGGAGGAGGGGGAGGAGGAGTGGGAGTTGGAAGAGGAGAAGGAGGAGGAGGGAGGAGCAAGAGAGACGCTACCCTATGGTAAAAACTTTTGAACAATATTTATTTATTCCTGACACTACAGTAATCTTCAGCATTGCAGTCACTCACCCGGTAAACATGTACAGTATGTGTAATGGCATAATGACGGCTAATTATTGTTTGAAAATTAGTACTCTAGGCTATATAACACTTATTAGCCTGTTTAATGACAGACAGACAGACAGACAGTTATATGTTTGGTAAAATTGTCATACAGCCGTGATGGAGAAAGTCGACAGCAGCGACACCAGCTGACCAATGGAGGGACGTGACATAGCTCCGCCCACTACCGCTGACCTGACTTTTTTGTATGAATAACAGGACACTGAATCAGGTGTTTCACTACCATACTGTGGTACCATTACTTTACACTGTATCTTTAATGGTGATGATATTCCTAACAGCAAGAAGGTGCCAAAGAAGCCGTCGTTCCTGAAGCGTGACCTGGATGCCAGAGCTCACTCGGACATGTACCGCAGCAAGTTCAGGTCGGTATTTTGCGTCCATTAATATTATCTATAAAATTACGTACAAGTTTGTGATGAAAAATTGTAATTATACCGTATACTTGTAAGTTATATTGTGTGTGTTCTCCCTAACTGAGTCACCCTCTGTAGCGCACCAGTCTGAAATTATTCCCACAAGTATTCTTATGAACTTATTTATGATTGGGTTTTTCATCTTCAGTTTGTTATGTCTCCGCAGATTACCCCTGAGTGAGAAGCTAGACGGATCAACAACGTGTTCTCTGTGGGCACCGTATAGGAAGGCTTACATCAGTGGCACGCTCTATGTCTCTCTCAGCTACATATGTTTTGATAGCAAGGTATATTGTACCCACTTTAATACCCTGTTCACTTGTTTAATTCAAGGTTCAGTAATCCCAGTGATGCCGACAATATGCTGTTAAACAAGATCCCTCTATATACACCTCCAGTGATGTTCCAATAATCAAGGTACAGGTAGTCCACTGATTTTCTGGCACCCTTGGGACCAGAGCCTTGTCAGACCAACAGTTTTTATGGACCATCAGATGTCTATATACAGTACTGTGTAAGTATAATCGCCGACATAATTTGTAGCAACGCGCCAGATTCATACCAATGTGCCTTGGCCTTGACCACAACAGCTGATGATATGAACAGTGTTACCAACTCTGAAACTGACTTCCCTCCATTTACCAACTCCTATGAGGGATAAGATAATGTAATATAATTATACTCTACTGCACCAATAAATGTGAGAATAAATCCAAATAAAATAAAAAATTACTCTATTCCCGGTTGGACGACGAAATTTGTCAGTCATTTGTCTACACGCACGAGATCCCCGCTTAGCTTGAACTCTTGATACGTGAAGAAAATTTATTCCTTTTTATGTTTTATACTTTATGATATTTTTTTACTCCACATTCTGCATGTAAGATTGTGTGTGGATGTAACATAGTGAAAAAAAAATATGGAGACGGTTACATATGTCTACCCGAAATTACAAGTTCAAAAATAACCGTAACGCCTCACAGCTCAGTAAGGTTAGCCTACCACGAGCATGTCCTGGGTAGCTGTTGTCCACCATGAATGACTCATAGAAATGTATGAATTTTAACCCCTCAAAAATATTTTACTGTATACATGTATAGTTCAAACACCTACTTCTTGCATACAGTACAGTGCTGTAGAAAGGGTTTTGATCACACAATAAACATAATATACACAGAGTAGATATTATGTTCTTTAGAGTACAGTACAGTGCAGTACAGTACAGTATATGTAAATAATTTAAATTTGATATATGTACAGTATTGTAGTAGAAGACCAATATTTGATTCATAAACACCCCCTTCAGATTTCCAACCTGGTGAGCATCGTGTGTCCGCTGCGAGACGTTCAGAGCGTGGAGCGTGTGGACAGTGTTAAGGGCAACACCATGGTGAAACACGCCCTCTTCATCTGTACCACGCAGACCAATTGCTCCAACACTTTCCTTTTCATTGATGTTGGGGATCGAGACTTTGTCATCAATAAACTGTCAGAGATGCTGGGCAAGAGTATACCCACCAAGAAGTAGGTAGACATGTTTACTGTCAGTGATGTTACCTTCTGAGTCAGGCACCTCCAAGTCAGGCCAGAACTGTCTTTAATTACCTCAGGGAGTAGTGATCTGCCTTGCTAGTGTAGAGGATGCTTGGAAGTCCTCTTATAATGCCTAGTTTCTGCTCTGTAAAAGTGGGTTGGCAATAGGAAGGACATCCAGTCATAAAACCTGCTTGTAATTTACCTGATGTCAGCCGGGAGAGAAGCTACAGCCTGGAGAGCTGCCGTCAGGTAAACATACGGTAACTAACCCACACAAGTGGTGATGAGTTAAATACTATCATGTGCTTTCTTTATTTGGGGAAAACAAAACATATATACTGTACTGTTTAATGTATGTGACACATTAGTGTGATTTTACTGTTTTATAAATAAGAGCTTGATTGTGTTATTACTACACTATTATTGTTATAATTCAGCTGGTGGTTTGTGATGTCCTGAACCAAGCCAACAATTACAGTAGTTGCATGGAAACAAGGTGTTATGTTAGGTCACTTCCTCTCCCCCTCACGTGGTACTTTCTCCTTCAGCACACTGCCAGAGAACATGGTCCTCGGAAACACCAGGTTCGACAGCCGCTCTAACTCTGTTTGTGACGATAAGAGTGAAGACATCAGCCTCAGTAGCTTAAGTAAGTTCATACTTAATGTGTCTGTCTGTCTGTGATCTTTGTTCTCCCTGTGTTGTGTGGGCAGATGAAGGGAAGCAGCTGTTAGGTAAAGACAGGGTAGGGGCAGGGAAGCAGGGGGGCAGGGGAGAGGGGCAGGGGAGCAGGGGCAGGGGAGTAGGGGCAGGGAGAGGGGCAGGGAAGCAGTGGGACAGGGAGAGGGGCAGGGGAGTAGTAGGGCAGGGGAGTAGTATGACAGACTTACTCGACTTACAACCACCCGGACATGCGACCGCCTCAGTCGTACCAAAATTTTGTAAAATTACGTATTTTCGATTCCCAACGACAGTGATTGCGCTGTGTACTGACAAAATTTTCGTTTGTAAATCACTTTAAAATGGTTGGCAAGCTTAAAAGTGAGAGTTTTGTGGTGCTGAGAAGGAAAAGAGACACCCATTTTAGATTTTCTATGTATTATTTAAGCATTTTCGACTTATGACCATTTCGACTTACGACCTGGATTTGGGTCCCTAACCCGTTGTAAGTCGGGGAGCAGCTTTACTTTTATTGACTAATTTTCTCCAGTTAAATCTCCATATAAACAAGAATCAAGAGTTAGTTCAAGGTTCTTCACTGAGGTTACTGTTGAGATGTGTTCATTCTTACAGTACTGTACAGTGAATTTGTTTACTCTTTAGAGTTTTTTTTTTTTATCCAAATAATAATGATTCAGTCTTTCCAAGATGTAGGGATAATTTGTTGTTTATGAGCCATTGTTTACATGACTCCAGTTCAGATGATAACTCATTAGCTATAACATAATAATAATAATAATAATAATAATAATAATTATAATTAACAGTTTATTAAAAAAGTTCTGCAGCCCGAAGGCTGAAAGTATACATTAGACATAAATGACTTATTACATACATTGGTGGTTTAACGAAAGTCTTCATTAGAGAAAGGTAAAGGAACATACAGTGAACATACAGATTAATGTTTACAGTGGAGGTCACGTAGATCATGTGCGCTGAGGTGTTGAACAGCAGACATGTAGTGTAGTAACTCCCTCACAGATGGTGTTATGAGGGGTCTGACATAGTGTAGTAATTCCCTCACAGATGGTGTTATGAGGGGCTTGACGTAGTGTAGTAACTCCCTCACAGGTGGTGTTATGAGAGGCATCACGTGGTGGATCATTACCTGACACTAACAGAACACTGTCATCAGCATACAGCAAAGGTTTACAGTTAACAGTAATGGGCATGTTGTTTGTATAACATAGGAAGAGCAAAGGTCCTAGGATACTCCCTTATGGACTCTACAGGTTATCAGCATGGATGTTGACTATTATTTTCGATGATTATTTGTTTCCTGTTATTAAGATAACAATTTAAACCTTTCAACAGACCCAGTGCCAAGAGCCTGCAGTTTTTCTTATAATACATCATGATCCACAGTGCTGAACACTTTTTGTCAGTCATTACCATTCCTTTGTACTTTCCATGAGCTGTTTGGGTCCTGATGTGGTCAGTGAGATGGATCAGCCTGGTGTCAATTGAGTGGGAGCCCCAAAAGCCTGATTGGTAGCTGTACAAAATATTATAATAATAATACAGTAATAATAATAGGTGGTCTTTTGTTTTTCAAAAAGATACTGACCTGTAATTACCAATTTCACACTTGTTCCCATTCTTATAGACAGGTGTTACTCTAACAAACTTATGCTCATCTGGTATAATATTGGTATTACTGTACAGTAATGGAGAGATTAATTAGAGGTGATACTAATGCTTTTGATATAGTGGCACCATCTCTTAAGAACCTGGCTGGGTTGTTATCAATACCTGTGCTCTTATAGAGATCTAGTTTATTTAACTCCTGTAGAACAAAGTCCTCTGCCACCATCTGGAGTTCAAGACTATTTGGAGTGTTTCATTTCTTTCTATAGTTGGATTTAACAGCCTCTGAGCCTCCATTGTAATTGTTTGAGGCTTCTGGCAGTTTATTAACTAAAGATGAGCCAACTGTTGTATAAAGGTAACAACTTATCAGACAATAAGGCAGATCTCATAGAGATTTAAAATCTTGAAAGGGATGGAAAACGTGAACCTTGGCCATTTTTTGGTGGTATTACACACCACCAACACAAGGGAGTATAACTTCAAGTTCATCAAGTTATCATGCAGAACACACATAGGAAATATTTCTTCACACAGAGGCTGGTAGATCTATGAAACAGTCTACCAGCTCAACCTGTGGAATAGAGAACAATACTGGGCTGCAAAATAGCTCTTGACAAAATTATCAAGAACAATTAAGAGATCTTACACAGGCCACTGGCCTCTTTCCTCAGCATGGCCACATCTAGTGGGTGGCCATTAGGGATATAAGGTAAGGTAGGTAAAAGGAATTAAGAAACAGTAGTTTGCAAATTGAGATGCATTGTGACATCGCATTAGTAATGCTTAATACTGAGTTGGAACGTTCTATTGGTCTGTGGCAGTCTTCAAGGGTTCTTAGTTGCTTCCAGAGTTTTTTTTTGCTCATTGTTATTTTCCTCAATCTTTTTATTTAAATTTTGTGATTTCACTTGCTTAATATCTCTCTGTACTTTGTTATCCTATGAAATTCTTGGTGAGACTTGAAATCATGTCTGCCTCTGTTAATCTTACAAGCGAGGTGATCTCTGTGTCTGATGGATTCTAATATCTCACCAGTCATTCAAGGTTCTGTCCTAGTTTTTATCCACATCTCATTTAACTGTGCTATGTCATCAAGAATGTCAATAAAAGTAGTTTTGAACTTCTCCAAGGCCACGTTTACTGCTGTCCAGTTTATCACCAATCATTATTTTCTAGTTTATTTTGGAGCACTTCTATATTGTTATTCTTCACTGACCATGTTTTGATTATCTTGTGTTGTCTTGTCTTATCGTCCTTTTCCTTTTTCCTGCTGCAGTGGGAAATAAAGTGGTCACTAAAGCCAACACGAATGACTTGTGCCTGACTGACTTTGTCTTGGTTATTACATATTACATGATGTATTGTGGTGGCTGAGGACTTTGTTTTCTGGTTTGATGAATTAACTTGCAGTTTAAAGCCATTCATATCTAAGGTTTACTTAAATTTCTTAAACAAACTGTTTTCTTCGTGTTTATAACAAAATATTGAAATCACCCTGTTTTATTGTTTCACAATTGGTGTTAATGTGTAATAACATTCTAGCAAAATTGTCCACAAACTGGCCATCTATAGGTGGGTGGTAGAGAATGCCTAGCAGGATGGGTTTAGTTTTGAGTAATAATATTTCCAGCCATAAGCCCTCCAGATGGTCATCATGTAAATCTGATCTATGGTTGAAGATCAAGTCATTTCTTATATAAGCACAAACTGCCCCCATGTCTGTTTAGGTCAAGATGTTGTACACTGTAACCTTCTATTTTGATTTTCTCATCTGTAACTGTCTCATGTAGCCCTGACTCTGAGATGGAGAATACAGTAGCCCTAGTTTTAAAAGCTAGAATTATGACTTCCAACATCTTTGGCAGCAATGACCTTGAGTTCATATACACCAGATGCAGACTCCAATGTGTAAAACACTCAAAGTCGTCAAACTCACGGGTCTGTTGGTGTGTTTTTTGGTACTAGTGGAATATACTGTTGGGCCTTTAGATATATATTAATCACATTGTCGAGTATTGTAGCACCAGGTGACAGTCTGCCATAGTCCTCCTTGGTTAGAAAGTCTGTGCATCTTTCATGCACGCATTTTTCACACAATTTGCACCTTATAGCACAGCTCCGGCTATTCATTCCTTGCTTACAATGAACACAGAGCCGCCTAGGTTGTCCTTTTGACTGTTTTCTTACCTTTGAGGTAAAGTCCTGTTGACAGGTCACTGGTAACTGGTGGAGGGCCTGATGGTGCTCACCTGCCGGAGCTGGTGGCAGGTTGAATGATGGCTGGTGTTTACCTTCTGACTCTGATGACAGGGTGGCGGGTGACAGCTGCTCACCCACCGGGGTAGGTGTTGTGTTGATGGTTAGCGGGCGATGTTTGTATTCCCACACTGAAGAGAGGTTGACGGGTGGCGACTGCTTAACCACTGGGGTAGGTGTCTTGTTGGTGGGTGGTGTTTGCCTTGTAGTGCTAGGAAGAAGTCGATGGATGGCAGTTCACCCACCGGGGCGGGTGATGAATTGAAGGATGATACGGTTGTGGTGGATGTATGTCGGGATGGCAGGTCACTAATGATGCCATTGTAGTGATCTTCTGTACAGTGTAGTAACACTGTCATGGTGGAGTAGCCATTGTTCGGTGTTAGTCTTATTATTTCTACGCTGTTGTTGCTGTCTTCAATGTAGATGTTTATGTTGACATTAAAACAGTCAGCCAGGATCTGAGGAACAAGATCCACAAACAGGGAGTTGTACTTTTTGTGTTCTGTGTACAGTAATTATATACCTGTTCTTGTAGCTGGGGTATATCTGGTAATAATGGTCGTTGTTGGAGATAATTTCTTCATATATTTTGTTCTTTATAAATTGAAGTTCTAGTTTGTATTCACTTTGTATGTGGCTGTTAAAAGATACCAGGAATGAATGGAGGAGACAGAGTCCATCAGGTGGTGAACGTTGGATCTGCCACCCCTTGTCTCGTAGAAGGGTCGCAAAACTGATTTCTCTTTTGTAGAATGTCGTCTCCAGAGGTCTAGGCCAATTCCTGCCTTGGTGGTTTAAGGTTCTGTCTTGTATCACATAGTAATTTTGGTGCCTTATTCACTCTCTGAACTGTAGTCGATGGGCAAGCACTCTCTAGGGGACAATTGTAGATTTAAGGTCATCTGGCACTGTGACTGGCACTTTCCAGAATACCGAGCACTGTTTTGAGGAACTGACACTGGTTTGTAAGAAGTAACAGTTTTCCTCTCAAATTCTTATTAATCCGTTGAAGTTGGATACACTACGATGCTCTGTGGACCATTGTCAAGGATAAAGATTTATTTTGTATTTTGTTGAGAAATTGAGGATATGAGTTACTGTGTGTGTGTGTGTGTGTGTGTGTGTGTGTGTGTGTGTGTGTGTGTGTGTGCGTGCATAGATATTTCCTGTCACTGTGTACCTTCTTTTTCATTGCTGCCTGCCTCCCCCTCTGTCTGATGCATCCCTTGATATATCTTACACAAAATTGGGAGATAAAAAGAAAAGAAAAAAAAGAGTATACTGTATTAAGGCTTGTAAGATATGCCTATGAATGAGGGTTATAGAAAAGAACTATACTCTTCCAATACTGTATATACTGTAAAGTTGGTGTGGCTAGAATAAAGAAATCTTGAAGAGGACGCCTGATAGGTTCATCTGACCAAACTTTCAGTAACGTGAGGGCATGGGCGTTGTAGAGGGCGTGAGCGTTGTTAATAACCCGCAATTTGCCTTTTCAGGTTTGGGGAGCACGTCGGACAACAACGGATCAGTCGTCACAGAGAATTCAGAAGCCGAGCCCACAACTCTACCCTTGAGAGCCCTCTATTCCGGACTGGATGATGTAGAAGTTAGTACCTGCATTCTTTTGACACATTGGTCACCTCAAACAAAAATAGACCCAAGCTGTATCATTATGAGTCAGTTCTCCCCTTTACCTCAGTCACACAGTTTGAGAATATGGTACAGTATAATCTGTTTCCATATATAGTTTATGGGTTACTGTGGAGTGAATTGTGGCCCAAGAGCTTACTGAGTTACAGATTGTATGGTGTAAGCTAGTGTATGGTGTAAGGCAGTGTATGGTGTAAGGCAGTGTATGGTGTAAGGCAGTGTATGGTGTAAGCTAGTGTATGGTGTAAGCTAGTGTATGGTGTAAGGCAGTGTATGGTGTAAGGCACGTATTTACCAGTTCTGTTAATTGATTACCCGTACTTATTTAACCAGTTACCAGTTGTGTTCATTGATAAATTATTTAACCAGTTACCAGTTGTGTTCATTGATAACTTATTTAACCAGTTACCAGTTGTGTTCATTGATAACTTATTTAACCAGTTACCAGTTGTGTTCATTGTTGTTGTTTCTAACTAGGAAGAGGAACTTGAGCAGAGGAAGGAGACACTGTGGGAGCGTCACTGGGGGGAGTATGGTCGAGGAGTGTCCATGTACCGCACCGTTGAGACCCTACGCCTGGTGCTGGACGGTCTGCCGGACACTGTCAGGCGAGAAGTATGGTTGATATTCTCAGGTTAGTAAATATTCTACTGTCATTTTTAGCCATTTATCTCTTCCCATATATGTTTTGGGTCCAGTTGCCATGATAACAATATCACTTGTAGTTGCCATGATAACAATATCACTTGTAGTTGCCATGATAACAGTACTGTATCACTTGCAGGTGCCATAAACGAGCAGGCCACAAATCCCGGCTACTACGAGCAAGCAGTGGTCGCTGGATTGAAGCGGGGAGGCCCTGCGAACGATGAGATTGAGAGAGACCTGCATCGATCCCTCCCTGAACATCCTGCTTTTCAGAGCGAGACAGGCATATCTGCCCTGAGACGTGTTCTTTGTGCCTATGCGTGGAGGAACCCTGCCATAGGTTAGTTGCCGGGTTAAAGATGGTTGTCAGGTTGATGAAGGATTAACTATAACATGCCTTGATAAGAGTTGTAAAGTGAATAAAGGAATAATTATAACATGCCTTGATAACAGTTGTCAGTAAATATTTAGGTCAAAGGTTATTAGAGGACTTGAGAGGCTGGGGATCAAGGGCCTCTAAATTACATAGTGTGAGCCTCTAAAGAACTGGGATAAAGTCAGGGGGCAGTGCTGCCGGAGCTCACTGGAACGCCATTCCGGCACCTCTGTTTCGATCAATCAATCAATATCGCCGACGCCTTGTTCCCTCCCGGAAACTCCCCAACAGGGGGTGGCCATGGCAGAAATGTCTCCAGGCTATTTTATCCTTGCACACCTCACTTGCTCTCTCAAACACTCTTCCTCCCCTGCCCGCTCTCTCTTCAACAAACTCTCTAACTCTTTTCTCCCAGGTGGCAATTGGTCTACCCCTCCCAACATTCCCCTCTCTCTTGCTATCATAAACTATTTTTGACAGCCTGTCTTCATGCATTCTCTGCACATGTCCATACCACTTTAGTGTATTCCTCTTCATCCACTCCACTCCACCACACTTCACACATGAAGCTATAGTAAGCTCTATATGTTAATATAAATCTATATCAATCAAGCAATCAACTTTATTTTGCATTAATAATACAAAACCGAATATATCTTCATATAATTAATCTCTCCTTCAGATCAGTTTACATTTTATGACTTTTCAATATTGTAAAAAGACTTTGATAACTGGTGCACTTCTAAACACCTAAAAACAGTACTTTTTCAAAAGTTGGTATGTATTTCCTCTCATAAGAGCTGTAGATATGTGACCAATATTGAAAGGATAAGCACATTAAACTACTACTAGATCAAATATTTTATATATATATACATCAATAGATACGGTTTAGGAAACGGGAATTATTTTGACTGCTCCGGCACCTTAAAAATTGGCACTGGATAAAGCTCCGGTGACTCAGAGGTGTTGGAGGTAAATATTGAGTTGAGTTCGTAATTTTTATTCCCATGAACAGTTTAAATTGGCTCAGATGTCAATTGAATTAGTCAGTGTGTGTGTGGTGGCTGGTTTAATATAGAATGTATGTGAGGCCAGAAAGAAGGGGGGGGGGGAGGTTGGTGCAGAGAAGACCAGAATATGAACAGTAAGGATTAGACACAATAAGTAGATACACCCCATAGACACTTGCTCATGTTTTCAACTTTTTATACAAACTGAGTCATTAACATATACAATACAGTACACAACACTACACTACACTACACTACACTACACTACAGTACAGTGCTTCATTATTATCACCTCATACTCAAATACTAGATTGGGTCTCTGATGACAGATAGATTTCAACTCAATAATATTTCCCTATTTAATGACATTGTTTACTATGAGGGGTAAATCTGATCCCAGTAAGAATGATTAACACTGACCTGGTGTTGGTACTCATTACACTTCCACTATGGAGACACTTGTGACGGACTACTGACAATTGAAGTCATTATTGCTTATGAAATATATTGTAGTACACATTCCATAAACCCTAATTTCACCTTAACTTTTTTTCTCTCGTGATTTATCCATTAAAATTCAGTTTGTCTTTCGAGAATATAATAATGATTCATGTACCTGTACCCCACACCAGGTTACTGTCAAGCCATGAACATCGTAGCATCAGTCCTCCTCGTGTACTGTAACGAAGAGGAGTCATTCTGGCTTCTGGCCGCCCTCAGTGAACGACTCCTTCCTGACTACTACAACACCCGGGTCGTTGGAGCCCTAGTTGACCAGGGAGTGCTGGAAGACCTCATCCAGGACCACATGCCGGGCCTTCACTCCAAGCTGTCGGATCTCGGAATTATCTCTCTCATCTCGTTGTCGTGGTTCCTCACTCTCTTTCTCAGGTGAGTGTCAGGTGGTGTAGCTCTTTATGTTGGCTGGTCTTTTACTTTTTCCACTCCCACATACCACTTGCTGGTAGCCCAACTAAAACTGTCTTCTTGTGCCTTCAAACCATTTAAATCTTACCTCCCTTGAATTATTGTCAGCATAATTCAGTTTCATCCAGGTTCTAGTGCAAAATATGTCTTATACTTCAATAATGCCTCACTGTTTGTATACACCCTGATAATAATGCCTCACAGTTTATATGCATCCTGATAATAATGCCTCACAGTTTGTTTACACCTGAAAAATCATAGAAACTCACCATCAAAAATACAGGCCAGAATTTCTATGTAGTATAGTATATTCCTCATAAACATGGGATGGTTTATTTTATATTTCCAACACTTAAAAAAAAATATTACTTAATCCCCTTGTGTTCAGAGAGGTTGGTTTATCTTCTGAAATATATTGTGGACGAAAAAAATTGGCAGGCATTGAAGGAGGGAGGGAGGGAGGCGGGTGCATGGGAGGGTAGAGGTAGGTTGGAGACTTGCCAACATTACATAGAGGTGGTGATTATTATTCTGCCATTTTCTTACCACACCACCAATTTATTTTTATTTTTTTTAGTTTAATTATGAGACAGATGTGTTTTATACTCCCTCTCTGCCAAGTTCTTATTTGTCCACAACTGTACGTGATAATTAAACATTCGGTGAAATCTTAGGTTGCTTACAGTTTTTATTTTCAGGAGAAGTGATATCTCCGTTAGCCAGAACAATTGGTGCAGAGCAATTCCGAGAATGAGAGATTTCTGGGTAAAGAGAAAACTCCCTTAAAGATGGAAAAAATCCCCCATCCCATAAATTTTTCTGGGTACTGGAATTTTCCAGAATGATGCATTATTTCATCTCTCAAAACCAGACAAATTTCCCCATCCCTGGTATTTTCCGCGTACTGGAAAATTTTTCTCTGAATTTCCAGTAAATGCCCATGATTTTCATTTATCAAACCCCAGAATAAAAATCCCTCGTCCCTGGAATTTTCCGGGTACAGTGTACTGTAAAAATTTTCTCAGAATTTTCCAGAAAATATGACCTGCGGAAAATATCAATTCCGGCTTTTGGAGAGTTCCAGTTAAGAGGGAATCCAGCTAACGGAGATATCGCTGTATTACCTTGTTATTAGGATGTGGGTATTTGCTTGTAAATTTTGGATAAATCGTGGGTATTTGCTTGTAAGTCTTGGATAAATCGTGGGTATTTGCTTATAAGTCTTGGATAAATCGTGGTTATTTGCTTGTAAGCCTTGGATAAATCGTGGGTATTTGCTTATAAGTCTTGGATAAATCGTGGGTATTTGCTTATAAGTCTTGGATAAATCGTGGGTATTTGCTTATAAGTCTTGGATAAATCGTGGGTATTTGCTTGTAAGCCTTGGATAAATCGTGGGTATTTGCTTATAAGTCTTGGATAAATCGTGGGTAGTATTTGCTAGGGAAAATTTTGAAGTTATAAAGTATGAATCCCAGACAGTTCCATAATCAATGGTGATAATAATAATTCCCTCTTGTCATTTTTTTTTTGCAAGTTGAGGGTACTGTATAACTTAACTGTTTCTAGTCTCGTCACTTCATTTTCCTGTTGCGTGTGAGTTTTTCTTGTACACTTATCTCGTCCAGTTTATCATTCTTATATACCATTTCGTCCCATCTATGTAGTCTTTGTTACTCTTTGTCTAACACACACACACAGAGGAGCTGAGGATGGTTTATATTTTTTCTTTGTTTTATTCTTCCATCTGCCTGTGTGCCTCGTCTCTCCTACTTCCTTCTTGTTAATGATAAATTTTTTCCTGATGATGTAAGTCCTTTCACTTTACCTAACACACGTGCCAGCAGTGATGGGTAATAGCTATCGTTTATCTCCCGACAGTGTCATGCCATTTGAAGCGGCAGTACACGTGGTGGACTGTTTTTTCTACGATGGCGCTCGTGTAGTGTTCATGGTTGCGCTCGCTATACTGGATGTCAACAAGGATACATTGGAAAGTAAGTCAACATCCTCCTGGTTAACTGACTGACGGTTCTCTTATGGTAGATACGAAGGTTAATGATTTGTACTGTATATGTCTTATGTCATCTTTTCTCGTATCATTTTCCCCCATTCTGTTTATACTAACGCCTCCTGCACGTGTGTGTGTGGGGAAAATATAATAGATAGAAATTATATTAAAAACTTGAAACATTTTATATGGAGAAATTTTGTATTGGATTGAGCTGTAGTGATGGAGGTTATTGAGAAGGGATCTGAAGGATAATGAGGCGGTGTATAATACCCAAGAACGAATTATTTAAATACTGTAATGAAGAATATATTTAGGTTATGGAATGGAAGAAAGAATAGGAAAATAAAAACTCGCAAGAATAGTATAAACACCATTAGGAAGGATAAATGAATGAGTAACAGAGAATGAGAGAGTGTGTGTGTATTCCTCCTCTAGTTTGCCATCACCTGGGACTATACAAATGGGATCTCAGTTGTGCCTTGTAAATACAGTAGATCATTAAAGGTATGTTGGATGGTGCTGCCAACACTGATAGATGACTGACCAGAGTATGAGTTGGGATTGAAGCTTTGGTGCAGTGTTGTTTTAATTAAGGCCACGAGGTCATAAAATCGTAGTTCGTTGGTGTAGTCTTATTGCATTGCTGGATCTTGGTACAGACGCAATGTCCTGGTTAACAAAGGGTGGGACTGGAACTTGTGAGTGTCCTTCTTGTCTAACTGATGCCTGTGTCATGAGTAATACAACAGGAAGTATGCAACAGCTTCTGATGAATAAAGTACTACTCATATCTTATTGCATTATATTACTCTAATGACACTAAATAATACTGTATTATCCTGACAGACTGTGATGATGAAGGGGAAGCCATGATGGTCCTGGCAGACTACCTAGGGTCTATAACCACCCCCAAGTGTAGGTATGGGAAGCGCAAGTCAAGTATCTCTGAAGACAAGCAATCAGACTCTCCAGAGGTGAGAATATATCATGATGCTGTGGTATTGTTTTCTCACGAGATTCTTTTAAACAAAATTCTCAAAGTGTTTCACAATCTAACCTAACCTTATAATTTTAGTATTTAAGGAATGCTAGAAGTGTTTTTATGGTTGTATCTTTAATTGGAAATATGTTTAAATCCCAGAATAATTTAAGGGTTGGGTTGGTTATTTTTCTTCAGTCTTGAATTTAATGCTCAAAAGTGTGTGTGTGTGATTATTTTATTTTTTTAACATTCTGATTATACAGTAAACTCAAACTTTTCCATCACGCAGAAGTACACTCACGACCTCCTCTACTTTACAGGCCACGGTGAACATTATTGACATTATAGAAGCTGCGTACACAGGCTTCGGCTTCGTCACCAACGTTGCTATAGAGCGACTGAGAGTGAAGCATCGTCTACGGGTTGTGCAGACCCTGGAGGACACCGTCATGAGAAACACTTTACGTACTGTTGGTGCTGACTGTATATTGTCTGAGGAGGACTTGAAGGTGAGCTATGAAGAGCCATCAACTCTCTTCATCAGTGTCATGTCTGCTCTCTCTTGTTAACTGAATATTGTGGTATTAATTCTTTCCTATTGTATGTGGGGTGGATCAAGGGAAGCACAAACTAGAAGAAAGGGAGAGATGGAGGGGTGAATACTGCAAGATGTGGAAGGGAGAATACTGCGAGGTATGGAAGGGAGAATACTGCGAGGTATGGAAGGGAGAATACTGTGAGGTATGGAAGGGAGAATACTGCGAGGTATGGAAGGGAGAATACTGCGAGGTATGGAAGGGAGAATACTGCGAGGTATGGAAGGGAGAATACTGTGAGGTATGGAAGGGAGAATACTGTGAGGTATGGAAGGGAGAATACTGTGAGATATGGAAGGGAGAATACTGCCAGGTATGGAAGGGAGAATACTACAAGATATGGAAGGGAGAATACTGCAAGAGATGGAAGGGAGAATACTGCAAGATATGGAAGGGAGAATACTGCGAGATATGGAAGGGAGAATACTACAAGATATGGAAGGGAGAATACTTGTAAATTAGTTCATACACATACCATACCTTCGTGTCATCCTAACTCTACACAGTGTCAAGTTGTATCAGGAAGTTCTTTTAGCAATCACAATCAGAAACTTAATTAAAAAACAATCAGTACAAGAACACAATTAGGTATACAGTGAAAGTATTCTCTTTATCTAGATGTAACAAGAAGAGATAATGGTGTAAAGTATAGGTGCAGTAATTCCTGTATGGTGACAGTATTATGTGAGATGCTACGGGCGACACCAAAACAAGTGGATTGACATGTCTTAGTATTCTGTTTTGAAAAGAAGGAAGTTGGAAGATCCTAATGGTGTTAATAAACATACCCGAGGACGCGTTGTCTCTCGTGTTGTTCTTGCCTGGAGCGCCTCACCTTAATCTGGATACAACAATTACTATATATGGATTTAGTTTATAAGTACAGGAAAGTAATTCTCATAAGGTGACTGTATCAGAGGTTGTGACTAAACCTGGAGGAGAATAGAATTATATCTAAAAATTTATCTTAAACCACAACAAAAAATTAACTTGGCAAAAGATATGTGTCCATAATTATCATTAGCTTAGTGTGAGGATATGAGGAAGTGTGTACCTGTATAGTGGGATGGTTTATTGAGGGGGATAGGACCTTTTGGTGATGCTTTCTGCTTCTGTCTTGCCCAACTTTCTTTACCATTTCCTCTTTTTTATTGAAATTTCTGTTTTCCTCGACCCATACCATACCAAAGTGAGGTGATAAGGAAAAATAATAGATAATAAAGTACAGATTCACAGGAGTACGAGTATCAAAATAAACATCAGAGTTGAAATGGAAGAACGGAAGAGATAATTACGTACGACTCCCCTGACCATTGGAAGTAAGATTGGTCATGTAAGGTCAACACAGATACATCTATATACTGTAGTGTAGATTCTGAACATCTCCCTAATAAACCTCAGTAAATGGGATGGAAAAATGGTGCAGAAATAATGTAGAGAATAAGAAAAGTTTGGGAATAGAGCAGAAACACATCGAATTTACCGGTACTGCACACATATCGTCTTGGATGATAGATGTGAAGTAGCCAGAGTAAGACCATCCTAATCCAAGAACTGATCAAGGCAAGGATAGTCTATGTGTACAGTCTTTCATATGGCAGGTAACATAGGATATGGTCATCTTCCATTTATATAAGTACCCCCCAGCCCCCTCCCCCTCAGCCCATCTCAATTTGACTTAGAGGTAATTTTGAAGGTTCACACTCATGTATTTCTGAGACTATATCCTGCTGAAATGTGTACTGCACTGTATGTAAAAGAATGAAATATGAGCCATGCTAATGTAGAGTTAGTGTGATAACTGTAGTACTGTACAGTTAAAAGTGGGTTGGTGTATCCTATTGTGTTGAATGTCAGAATAAAACAGTAGAAATGAACCGGTTGATTGATAGCTGTTGCCTTTAACGTGTTACCACTCCATCACTGATCGATGTACAAAAGTTTGATAACATTTTACATCACTGTCTCTATGTTTTTAGAAGTTTCACACAGCTGTATAAGAGGGAAAAAAAATATATATATACTGTACCTTCATATACCTTTAATCCTTTGAACTCTTCCAGGAGCTTGTTATCTACGTCCGAGGGGAGCAGATCTTAGGGGGAGAGGACAAGGAAGTTCGTCAGAGAAATAACTCCGGCAATCCTTTGACCCAGGAAGGCTACGCTCTGGGATATGAAACTTTCCGTCAGCTCTTCTTGGCCGTGTCACCTTGGGGCCAGGGCGACCGTGCTGATTCCATCGTGACGAGCACCTTTAATGTTAGTTGTTTTCTCTGGTCTTACCCCACCCAGTTTGGTACAGTAGTGGGGAAGAGCTAGTACAACAAATTCTGTCTCATATCTGTTATCAGTCATGTGTAGTTTTGATTTATCAGATTCTTTCTCTCACTTTGTCTCTCTCTCTCTCTCTCTCAATCTTTCTCTCCCTCTCGTTCTTTCACTTTGTCTCTCTCTCTCTCTCTCTCTCTCTCACACTTTGTCTTCTCTCCTGTAGATGCTGGACGTCGATGGGACACACGTGCTCAGCTTTCGGTCAGTGGCGTGGCTGTTTGGGGTCCTGTGTAGTGGCGACTTTGCCCGGAAGCTGCGTCTGTTCTATTACCTCCATTTGGCATTTCCCCCGAGCCTGGATGAAGTAGATAAACCACCCAAGGTTGAGGAAAATGGTGAGAATAATTACCAAGAAAAAGAGGCATTTGTCTTCTTGGTAATGGGTCACCTTGATCACAAATGCTATTTTCTTTGGATCGTGTACGAAGATTAACATCCCAGCTTATTTGAGTAAAAGCCATAACACTATTTGGGAGGTAGGTTAGGTTAGATTAGGTAAGGTTAGGTTAGGTTAGGTTAGATTAGATTAGATTAGATTAGATTAGATTAGATTAGATTAGGTTAGGTTAGGTTAGGTTAGGTTAGGTTAGGTTAGGTTAGGTTTGATTGGGTAAGGTTATGTTAAGTTAGTTTAGCATAAGTTTATCTTGGTCATCAGATTCAGAAGGGTATTGGTAGGACCCATGACATCTCTCTCTCTCTATCTGTCTCTGGTTTGCTTGACTTCTCTCATATAAAGATAAACACCATAAGGAAACTGTAGGTGCAACAGCTGATCTCTTTTGTTGAGGAAAATGTAAACTGACTTACAACAACCAACATTATTCCTGTGGTAATGGGTTTCATTTTGCCCAACAGGAGAGATCCCATGTTACACAAGTATACATGTATGATCGCTTATACCCCAATGTAAGATCCACACTGTAAACACTGATGGCTGGATTGCAACTCCTGCCTTTTCCCAAGTGAGGCGATGTTCCCTCACTCAGAGTTGATTGGGAATCTTCTCATCATTTAATACGCTCTGCCCCCAGGCTCTAATGCTCTCTAAAGTACTTATGTTTCTGAGTCGTGGTCACCATAACAAGAATACCTGTCAGTGGATTCTAACCCAACTTGGTGTGTAATTTGGTTACAAATATTTATGGCCCAATGGACTTTTTAGTGATGTGGCTCGGTGTTTGTCCTCCCTCAGTACCAACTATTTTATTGGTGTATACAAGTACCTAGTGAGCATAAGTGATTTCCAATTTTTCTGTTCTAAAAATTCCTCAGGAGAGATTTTATGTATTATTTTTCTATCGTTAGTAATGTAAAAGTGTTTAAATTGTAGGAAACTTAGTTGTTTAAAGAAGACTACAACAAATCATAATTGTAGCAACAGTGTACAAGAGATTAATGATGTAGTGAAAAGTCTTCATTGAATCTTAAGGTTTTTTTGGCTCAGTGTTAGAACATCTATCCAGCAAGTGAACAGTCCCAGGTTTAGATCAGGTTCTCTCTCTGTTAACAATAACAAGAGTCCACTACTGAGTGTACCTGCTGGTGGTGGAAGTAACCCATAGGTGGGCCAGCATCTTGTTAAGAAGGTGGGGTAACCCATTAGCATCTAAATAATGCAGGAACTAGAAATCAGTACTTGCCCTAATGTGTCTGTAAAACCTAGAAAATGCAAGCTTATATTTGATTGAATGTGCCTGAAGCTAAGCATTTCATGTACCACAGCTGCTGAAGTGGAGGAAGAAGCAGCCGTGGAGGCAGAGGAATACTTTGACTTCCTAGATGAGGACTACGGGAAGGGCAAAGTGGACCTGGATGTGCCGGATGACAAAGACTCACATGTAGCTGCCACCTCCCCCAAAAAAGGTACAGTGTTCATATTTATGTTTTCAACACTGGTTAGTCCCTGACGTGTAGTGCTTATCTCGATGGTTAGTCCCTGACGTGTAGTGCTTATCTCGATGGTTAGTCCCTGACGTGTAGTGCTGGTTAGTCCCTTCCTGTTGATTTTTATACATTGTCTTTCATTTCTCTCCTAACCATTTCCATTCTTTCATGAGGTCCTTGTTTTGCTCGATCTATCCCTTGATGACTTTCAGAATACTGCGATGGCCTCACTGGGTTAGCGACCATCCACAACCGCGATTACCGACTGTATGAGCAGCGTTTTTTGCCCACCATGTCACAAGAGCAATTTATCAACATGTGGCGCACTGTCTATAGTTTCTTTGCCATGGAAACCAGCCAGGACATCTTTACATCTCTCTCCAGGGTTGGTAAGTGATCCTCTTGTCTTTGTAACTTTGCTACATAATAATGAATTAATGAAATGTGACAAATCATTAAACATACTGTGTCTTAAGTGGCAGTAGTAATTACACTTGTTTGTATCTCAGGAACCTTGCTGCTGCAGATTGGTGAAGTGGGTCGACGAGTCAGAGAAGTCGCTTCCAAATCCAATAGTGAAAGTGTAAGTCTACTGGAGCAATGTTGTAGTTATCAGGTCTTTGTTATTTGTGATATGAAGCTGAAGAAGTTTAGGGTATTTATATTTGTCACATTCATTGTACAGAAAATTATGGTTACCTTAACACTTTCACGGTCCTAGTCTCCCCCTCCCTCCCCCCCTCCCCTCACAGTCGGCCTGAATTCAGAATATTGGCCGGCCAGCACACTTTTTTTTTCACCAAAGCAATATTTCCTACTGCATTTTGACATATTGGTATTTAAACAATGTCTATATATGCAGAGATATATATAAGGAATCACATGAAAAAATGTGTTATAGCAAATTTAGTTGAAATTCATCATTACATTTTTAATCAACTTATGTTTTAATTCCATGAATCACCATTTTCTAAAATGAATTATACATAAAAAAGTGTATCAACATAAAATCTCTTTTGGCTGTAATGGATTTTAGAAAAAAAGTTGGCCAAAAACCCCCAGATTTTATCCATATTTTTTACCCAATATTTTATCCAGAGTCAATTATCATCTTCAAAATAAATAGTTTTGTAAGATTTTATTTACTGAATGTTTAGTTCGGGCCTTGAGACCTTATGGTGTTAGAATTTACTGTATGTCCGATGAATACAGTATGTCCCCCAAGTTCGTGGATTTTTACTTCGCGGTTCTTAGTTATTCACGGATGACACCCTGGATGTACCCAAGATCATCTGTGGGTAGTTTTAAAGTTGTCTACACACACACACACACACACACACAAAACACATACAAATAAATAATAATTTGAAAATACTCCCACAAATAATGAGAAATAAATTTATTAAAAATGTATCAGTCTACCCTGAAGTCTGTGCTTTATTACTTTATTAACAAAGCACGGACTTGAGAATAGACTCACATTTTTAATAAATTTGTTTCTCATTATTTGTGAGAGTATTTTCAAATTATTATTTATTTGTATGTGTTTTGTGTGTGTGTGTGTGTCTACACACTCACTCACACACATATACAATACTACAGGTAAAAGAAGTAATCATCCTCAGGGCAAACACATAAAGAGAATACTGTACACATTTCATTGTACACAAGTAAAAATGTCCCCCCACCGGTCCTCAAATGTTATTTGCAGATTTGGTGATTCACGGCCATTTTGAGAATCTAACCCCCGCGAATTTGGGGGGCCCCTGTATTGTAATTTTATGCAAATTTATAAAAATAAAATGTATATGGTGAGCTGTAGTCCCATCAGCCAGAAACAACTATGGAATACTTATCTCCGACACTAGATATTATCTGTTCATAAAAGTATATAAAATATTTAGAGAAATTGGTCTTAGGCTAAATTTTCCACAGAATCAAATGGTGTTATCTAGTCCCTTGCCACTATTGTTATCACTATTACTGTTAGCTAAAGCAGACTCAGTGTCTTTGCTGTTCTTCAACACTCAATACAGACAACGAGGCATGATGAGTCAGGATAACGGGGCCAAATTTTGAATCACAATACTCGCTACACTGTAGGAAATATTCCAACAATATACCATACACAGTCAACAATAGTCACTCACTCGCACATAATCCAGCAGATGGAGTATGGTGTTCAGCGGATGAAGTATTGTGGGATTTAATTGTCCATGCACGATAGCAACCCTCCTCATTCAAGGTTGTAGACCGGAGTAATTTTTGACAAACATACCCCACGGACAGAGACATAGAGGGTGTTAGAGGTACCATGGATCTTCATGCTACAACCTGTACTGAGTCCAATTGTCTTGCATCTTTAGTGGATAGTTTTTTAATAAAGTTAATTTTGTCTAACGAAAATTACTGTAAAATCCAAGACCGTGAGCGTAGAAGAAATTTTCTGATGCGCCCCTAGAGTCTAAGACCTTGAATGTTAAGGAGATCATAGAGCCAAAAGTACATGTCTGAATATAAACTTGAATGTTCTCTTTAAGTTTTAATAATGGCATATTTTATTGTAACAGGCAAGTACCAGTGTAGAGCAACATTCAGATGATAGTTCTCCTCCACTCAAGACAACGCTGGACCTTGAGGATCTGGAAGACTCGGCTTGTGTGTCGGGGGAAACATCAACAAACACAGACAGAAAGTTTACACAAGCACCAGTAGAAAATACCGGTGCTTTGATGGACGATTTAGATGACATTAGTAAAGGATCAGATGAAGTAGATAAAGACAACCTGGAGAGCAGAAGTGAGGAAGATACAGATGCAGGCAGACAGGAGTTAAGTAAGGGGAGCAGTGACTCGGGGAACGGGGGGATCACCTGTGGGCTGCAGCAGACCTCCATCTCTCAGCCATCGGTCCAGGAGTGGAGTATATCTTTTGAACAGTTCTTGGCTAATGTGGCCAATGAGGAAAAACTCGTGGTGTTCTTTGAGAGGTCGGTTAAACTGTCATCTGAAGTACAAAAGCTGAGAAAGAGACACGCGGTGAATACTAGTGCTGGTGGCTCCGTGGCCTCCACACCCTCGTAAATGTTGAGTGAAGATGCACGAGGGAAGTCAATGTTCAAACACAGGAAAGTGGAAGTTCCCTGCGCCCAATATGTGAGTGTGTCTGTAAATTCAAGCACATGTATTTTGTAATATTTTATAAAGCTGTGTATACTTACAGTGCATCAAGCATGTGATAAATATTCCCTTCTTAAAGTTTATTAATGGGTCATTTTAAGGGTTCAGAGTTGGCATCCTACTGTTTCTGTAACTTATTTATGTTCACATATGTTGAGGAGGTACTGTGCATACAGGTATTTCCCCAACACCAAAATTTTTTTGTGTATAAGTTCAAAGATTGAAAGTTGGCATAACATTGCTTTTTAGACCTCTAGACACACATTCAACATCTTGACACACACACACACACACACACACATACACACACACATACACACACACACACACACACACACACACACACACATACACACATAGACACATACATATGCACACACACACATACATATGCACACACACACACACACACATACATATGCACACACACATATGCACACACACACACACACACACACACACACACACACATACATATACACATACATATACACACACACACACATACATATGCACACACACATATGCACACACACACACACACACACACACACACACACACACACACACACACACACACATACATATGCACACACATATGCACACACACACACACACACACACACATACATATGCACACACACACACACACACACACACACACACACTACAAAAACAGTACAGAACTGTGTTAACTTTCAACCCTTGACACGACCCATTAAGTAATGTAAATTTATGTCGTCGCTGTTAGTGAAAAATTATATTTTTTGTATATAAATCGAATATTAACATTTACTCTATGGTTGATTCCATTGATTGATTGATAGTAAAAATATTGCTTCTCATACTTTAAAGTCTATGAAAAAATCTATTAATGTTATCCTTAACTTGAGAATTACATAAACAAACCATCCAGGAGAGGTGTAGTGATGTCAAGTAGAATGTTGAGCAGCTTCACAACCTGGCCATGGTGGATGTCTTGAATGGTGTCATTAACTTTTCAGCCAGGGTAGAAGAGCTCTGTATCAGAACAAGATAAAAGATTTCTTTGTAAACTAAAAATCTCTAATGTCATTATTGACGCTTAATCTTCTCAGTCAAGGAAGAACGGTTGTGCACGAGTCTTCTGGTGCTGCGGTCGTCAGCTCTTGCCTTGGGTTATACTTCATCAATTTTCCATAAATCTTATAGTTCTTTGAAATGTCTTGTAAGCTCTCGATAGAAAACATTGTTTTTAAAATTCAGGGAATATATTTTACACACTGAGATACACATACATATACGTTGTACACACATGCGATTTATGTTTAATAGAGTAGATATGTCATAGACAATTTTTTCTTTGATTTAAAAAGAGTGATACATTTTTTGATTATATCTGTATTAATTTAAGTTGACAAGAATCCCTTGCATTAGCAAAAGTGAAGATCTGATGCACTGTAATAGTAAGGCTGTGATCATTATAGGAATCTGAAGTTTGGAGTTGAAAATAGAAAAGCAAAGAAAAGGACTTGTAGAAAAGATAGTTAAGTTCACTTATGTGTACAGTATAAAGGTTGTTATGTGCACTGCTGTTGTGTTGTCAGAGAGCAGGAGGTAGTGAGGGCAGGAGGTAGTGTTTTGTCTGCCAGTACAGTAGGTAGTGAGGGTGAGTGAGGGCAGGAGGTAGTGTTTTGTCTGTCAGTACAGTAGGTAGTGAGGGTGAGTGAGGGCAGAAGGTAGTGTTTTGTCTGTCAGTACAGTAGGTAGTGAGGGTGAGTGAGGGCAGGAGGTAGTGTTTTGTCTGTCAGTACAGTAGGTAATGAGGGTGAGTGAGGGCAGGAGGTAGTGTTTTGTCTGTCAGTACAGTAGGTAGTGAGGGTGGTGGGGCAGGAGGTGGTGTTTGTCTGTCAGTACAGTAGGTAGTGAGGGTGAGTGAGGCAGGTAGTGAGGGTGAGTGAGGGCAGGAGGTAGTGCTTTGTCTGTCAGTACAGTAGGTAGTGAGGGTGAGTGAGGGCAGGAGGTAGTGCTTTGTCTGTCAGTACAGTAGGTAGTGAGGGTGAGTGAGGGCAGGAGGTAGTGCTTTGTCTGCCAGTACAGTAGGTAGTGAGGGTGAGTCTGTGTAACTCTTAGTTCTGGTCACCCTGTGCTGTAGTGGCAGAGTCTTGTAACTGATAATGAAAGATAGAAAGTGTTTATTGCTGATCTTTGATATGGTGACTATGTTCACTCTATGCATTTTGTATGATGTACAGTTGTCCACAGGTGTAGTGTTCCACCCCTTGGTGGGCTTTCTGAATATGTGACCAACAATATATTTTTGGGTAATATTTGTACTTGAGATTTGTGCTAAGTGATATAATAGTTATAATATCTGTAAAGAAGGTTCCACTATGATTCTGACATTGCCACATGTTCAGAAAGGCTACCAAGGGGTGGACCACTATACCTGTGGGCAACTGTACATTGCCATTGCAAATTTGTGAATTCATAGAGTTGGTTATGCAGACTTTACTGTGCTGTCATGAATGCAAACAGATTCTACATCAGTATGGGAGAAACAAAAGTATTCCATTATTTCTGAATACATTTATTATATTTTTTAGAATTAATTAAATTTGTTGTGTCTCATACAGTATATATATATATACAGGTGAATCTTGTTAACATTGGCTTACTATTTCCTCCCATTACTGTAACTCAGTGTTTATTAAGGTGGAATCACATGAAAATTAAGGGATTGACTTTCCTAATAGTATTCATAGTGATAATAGTAGTTCAGAATACTGTACTGTAGTAGCAGTAAGAATGAAGAGCCATATCTCAAAAATTGATCAATGAATTTTGCTGAAATTATAAGGAGTGACAGTGACCATTAGTGCCTGAAACATGCACTTGAAGGAACTATCGGCTGGATTTCTTCTCCTCCTCCTCCATCAGTCTTAAAGAAACACCGTATATTGTCACTGGCTGTTTCCCTCATAATTAACATATAAATTTCTACAAAATTCTGATTAAATATTAAAATCAGTTTGAGCTTTGTACAACAGGTGAATGATCCCTCCTAACATACAGTCATTTTCCCATTATAGTCCAGTCGGGGTCAAAAGTTCGCTCCTCGTGGTGAAACCAAGTCACAGGAACGAGTCTCTGAACTTATTTACCTTAGTGTGATGTTTTATCTCAGTTTGGGAGGGAGTGAACTGTATCTCAAGGTCAGGATGTGTAGTTCTTTAGAAACAAAACTCCTAATTGTTGAATGTCTCTCTGAAAATTTTGTTTAACTATAGATATAAAAAATCTCCTTCAGTTGTAAATCTTTCAACATATAATTTTTTATTTACTGGACTGACTTTAATATATACAGTAAAACATCCACAATTCGTAACTCCATCATTTGTCATAATTTAGCTGTTTTCGGGACTTCCTTAACCCGAACATTTGTATGAGCAAAAATCCCATACAGTAACTAATAACTACTGTATAGAAATGTTAAAAAAAAAAAATAGTGAAGTACTTCCCCCGGACCTAATTCTTCCACTTACATCACAACACTAATAATCACCTAATAAACAACAAAACACCTGTAGAGTGGTATGGATGTTCTTCAATATACAGTATATTGTATTTAGAGTCACCAACATGGTCTCTCAGGCACCTGGTTAATTCATATAGTACTGTACTGTATCCAGGTATAACTACATCCATCTAGTACTCTGACACAGTTGATATATGAAGAGTAGGTCTGAGAGGGTTGGCTGCCTGGTCAATGGATCTCCTTTTATCAACCAGGTTTATATTCCCGTGTAGTAATTTCCCCTTCATGTACAAAACCACTTTCTCGATTAATATCATTTTTGTATCGACCTGATCTTTAGTGTAATTACTCTCACTGTGTTATTATATGTTTATGCTTTATTCAGTCTTTTTTTTTCTGTGAGTCGTGAATATCTTTTAATATTTCAGTTTTGTATTTATTTCAAGTGGTTAGTATTACGAAATCAATGTAGAATAAGTGTATTTTTATTATTATCTGTTAGTTTATGTGAGGGGATATTTTTTATGTTTTAAGGTGAGTACTAAATCATTCCTGTCATCACTAAAGGCTATTTGATCTCCACGTTTTAGCCTCTTAGAATAAAACATCGGGGGTCTTGTCGTGAATCCAGAGTTTAGCATTTATTACTCTCACCGGGGCGAAAGTTGTCCTTGTTCGGCACGTATCTGAAGTTGTCATTGAGGGGTCACACCAGGGGGTTCAAGAGAGGTACCCATGCAGAAAACTGTCTTTGGAACATGTGTCTGTGTAAGATAGTCAGTTTATTGTTTGTCTATAGTCTCAATAATCTTTAGCATGTCTACTTAAAAAAAAATAATCACTGACCTGGGTTGGGAAGGTATTTGTCTTCCTTATCCACTTTAATTTTTATACAGCAGATATATTCATGGATTTAGACTTTGGTATGGTGATCATTTTTAAGAGTACAATATGGTAGAATCATATTACAAACAAGTTCTTTACTTATGCAGACATATATTTCAAACTCAGTGTTGTGCCATAATAAATATATTTTCTGGCAGTGGTCTGAATAAAATTGTAAAGTTCATGATATGACTCTTAACAAACAAGCATATTCATTGTATATACAGTGTTCCTGTTATACTGTACTGAACTGTTGCCCTGTGTATGGTAGATAAGGGTATGGTAACTACATGCATTAATGATGGTATAATTGTTTCTCTGCTTGTAAATTCTACCCAAATACTGTATACACTGTTTGAGAAGTACTGTACATTACCACCAACAGCACCATTAAACTAGTTCTTCTGAAACAGTGATCATAAACCAACCAAACCTAACCTAAAAAACACAATTTCTCTAGGATTGTTTGGTTAGATTAGGTCTGTTTATGTTATCTCAAATGTAAATAAATAGTTTAATAGTCCTGTTTGTGGTACTTTTCCCAAATAGTACATCGTGGTGAATAGTTCATATGAAGGAGCATTTATCTTTACATACACATGTTGTTTCGAGTTTGTCCTGCATTAAAATATGACAATAAGGATAACAGGTAAAGTTTCCATTCAGTTGTGTTGGAAATCTTTCCAATGATACTTGATGAACTAAAAGAGAATGAGATGGATTAATTTTGCCATTTAAAGAGGTAACTTAACTTTGACTTCAATTTGAAATACTGTAAAGGTAATGTAGATATATAAAGAGAATAAATCACCTTTATTCAGAATTAGTAGAGTGAATACAAGAGCAAAACGAAAGGTAATTATATCGGTAATATAAAAAAGTAATGATGTAGATTTGATTATATTTTGACTATATAGACTGTGACTCTACAGTGGATTGATTCCTTGATTTAACTTTCTAGCCGTTGATTTATCGGGTCATTACGGTCGAATACTCTATATAGGAAACCATTTCCCGGAGGTAGATGATAACGTGTGATTATGTGCAGGTGTGTGTGTGTGTGTGTGCGTCAAAAACAGTATTGTTCCGAATTTGAACCTCTGTCGTGACTGTCAAAATAACTTCCAGCATGAAAAAATGTTACTTGAAAATTGTGTTGAATGATCTTTTAAGAGATACTTATGATTCTTATTACTGATTCACAGATGATTTGAATAAAGAGATGTAGCAACAACACTATCAAGATGAATGTTACTAACTCATGAAAGAATCAGGTATAATTTTTTTTTAATATGCAGGCGAGATATTTATAGGCCTGCAGTGTCTGTCTGTATTCTCGACCTTCTTTTGTTTAAGGATAAGCGATGGAAACAAGTAAGGAAAAATGGTGTAGAAAAAGTGAAGGCAGAGAAATATAAAACAAAAAATAAAAGAGTTTTGATCCTATTAAGAATTTTTTGATTCTCTAAAGAGTTCTGATCCTATTAAGAGTTTTGATCCTATTTATTTTCTTCTCCTCTCCCCCATTTTTGTGTGCAGTGAATCAAAGAAAGCGATAATGTCAGTAAATGGGGGGGGGGGTTGGAGAAAGTGATGAGAGATACAGTAATGTGTAGAAAGAAAGAGAGAAAGACTGAAATAACAGATAGAAATACAGTGGTCCCTCGGTTAACGAACGGTTCGATTAATGAAATTTCGGTTAACGAATTACCTCCTATAAGGATCTTCAATTTGGTTAACGTCCAAAACCTCTATTTAAGAAATCCTTATGAACAACACGTTTTGTTGTGAATATCAGCTGATGGGCTAGTCTGCCAATTCAGTAATCTGTTCTATGTCAAGAAAGTTGTGATCTTTAATATTTTTGCATTTTTTATATTCAAATTATTAGTCATTTTAAAATTTAGTTAACATATTAATAATATATGCAGTACAGGGAACTAGTTTTTTGTGCGCCCATCAGCCGCTTGACTCACCCACCAGGCGTTAGTTTGGCTTTGTTGACAGTGGAGTGAACATCTATTTTGTTGGTGTCTTGAATATTTTTGCATTTTTACATTAGAATTATTGGTCATTCTGAAATTTAGTTAACATATTGATAATATATAGTGCAGTGTTGATTTAAATAAAATAATCTTGAATTACACCTAGTGAACATAAAATTTTATTGGTGAAATTACTGCATCAAGCATGGGTCCCCTTAAAGTTGATTTCTCACCCATCCCCACTTCCTTCTCTTCTCCCTCTCCTCCACCCCCACTTCTAATTCCCATCATCATCATCAACCAGGAACCTTCTACATACACACCTCAAAGTAAGTGTACTTTACTGCATTTATTTTTTTACTTTGTATGTTCTTTTCTGTGAGCTGGAACCAATTAACCAATATCCCATTGAAAGAATGGATTCGGTTAACGAAATTTTCGGTTAACGGACGACTGTGGAACGAATTGTGTTCGTTAACCGAGGGACCACTGTATACTTAGTGTTTTAATCCATTTACATGAAATACTTGAGTTTTATATCAATTTATAATCATTTTCCTGTCCGTCTGTCTGTCTGTCTGTCTGTTATGAAATGTGTTGGTCTATCAGAGTGAAATGTTCTGGACCGGTAAGAGATATTTAATGGAACATGTGCTGCTTATCTTCTTGGCATTATTGGGATCATCATCTTGGCTTCATTAGGATCATCATGGCTTCATTAGGATCATTGTTGGCTTCATTAGGATCATCTTGGCTTTTGTTGGGATCAGGCTCCGAGTACAATCAATCAGTTAAGACCATGATCCACCTACACTCTTAAATGCTCTTCTATTGGTCTACCTTTACCAGTTTATATATACAGTAGTTTGTATCATTCTGGAGACCAAATTATTCCATTCAACTACAGTATCTTGGTTTTTTCTACCCACCCCCCTTTCCCTTCCCTCATCTTTCCCTCCCCTTCTCCCTCATCTTCCCCTCCCCTCCCCATGTCACCTACTACCTACTGATAATTTTACCCATTAATATCGCCTTTACCAGTATCCCTACATCGTTATATGACCAAATTATCTAATTTTCTTTATTCTAGTTTTATCATCACATTTTCGTATTTCTTAACTTTTTTTTAAATGATACAGTATACTAATTATGTCTGTTTTCTTGTGAGGTCAACTAATAGCCTCAACCTAAACCTTATTAACACGTTTTAAAGTGACAATATTACAATGTATCAGAACAGGGGGGAAATTATTGTTTTAAAGGCTGTTTTTCACTGTGCTTTCTGTATGAGTGCATATATTGTATAAATAATTTAGCCTCTATCGATGTACGTATTCAAGATATTCTCCAAAGAACCAGATTGTGAATGTTATCTTTAGTTACGGTATCTTTTGTGAGACATTCATGATGCAGTGGTCAAGAGGTTAAAGTAAAAGTTTTATTACAGTATTTACATTCTGCTGCTTGCTGGATATACTGTATGGCTGAGGTGTGAAAGTGTTGTGAAGTCCTTGTTCATATTTTTTTATTCTTTATCCTCTTTACCATTGATTTTCCTGGTTCTTACATGATAAATTAACGAGTCCTTTTAGTGTGAGAATGAAGAGGTTTAATTTAACATCACTTCTGTATTTGTATTTTGAGGATTTTGTTTTTTTACTTGTGTATGTAATTTGTAGTTTTATATCAGATTTAATTGTATTTTCAGTTTGTGAATATTAGGGGGTAACTCATCTTTCGGTATTATTTTTATTATTATATTTCCATGTTAAGAAAATGAAAATGTGATGTGAAACTGTAAACAACCAGACAGATATACGAGTGATAATATTTGTAGGGTGTAAACAGGAGATGTATCTAGCATAGATCAAGATGCCTACTCGCCTTACTATACAGTATGGGATGGAGAAAGGAAACTCACAATGTGCTCTCTGTATACATATTGTATTGGATGTACAATGCAGCTTGGTGCTGGGAAGTGGCAGCGTGGTTACAAGCGTGATGTAGAGAGAGCTGGTTGGTGAGAGTGCTCAGAGGAGGACAGCTTGTGGGTCGCCATGCTCGCCGGCGGGAGCGAGGGCCGCCAGGCAGGAGCGGAGGAGGTGGTGTAGCTTGCTGGTTGGTGTAGGTAGAAAGGAGAGCGGTCACGATGAGGTCAGGTCATAAATAGCGGAGGTAGGCGTGGCTTAGTAGTTGACCTCCGTCATGTAAGGCGGCGCTGGTTGACCAAGACCACGAGGCATACACTGGGGAATTCGTGGGGTTCCATCATGGCATCTCTTATAATGTTCTCCAGTACTTTACACACTGTACTGGTCTATAATTATTCATGATGTGTTGATCTTCTTGTCTGAATATAGGACTCACAATGATATGCCATTTTCCAGTTGCTGGGTATCTTTTGCTCGTTTATGCATCTGCAGAACAGGCTTTTAAGAAGCTCAGCAAGCTCGTTCCACAACTCTCTCAGCTCTTATGAACCTTTAGCTTTGACAATTTGTTCCTACTGCACTCTTCTGAGAACATAATGTGCATCAGTACTGTCAAACCATTTTTCCTCAAGTGCAAGGAGATCCCTTTTTGTGAACGCTGAGTAGAAGAATTTGTTTAACCCCTCCACTTTTTCCTGATGAGTCTGCATAACTACCATCTTCAAGTCTCAGATCTGATAGGCCCACAATAATTTTTACTTTGTTTAATGGTAGAAGGTCTTTGGGTTTGACTTGACCTCATTTGCAATCCATCTCTGAAACTCTTTTTCATCCCCTGTACACTGACTTCTTGGTTCCTTGACCTTGCAAACATACTTCTGTACTCCAAGCTTTGTCAATAAATTTGTTAAACTAATCTGTACTGCTAATCATTTATGACCCATCTCTTGAATTTCTGAGATTTTTTTTTCAACTGCCGCATGGTTCATGCATAATGGTCTGTGTTCCTGGAGTCAGTGGGTTTGGTGTTGAATATATATTTATCAATCAAATATAGTTCACTTTACCAACTATGATGTTCCGGGTAGTTTTGTATTCTTGTTTACCAGCAAGACAGGCCAGTGAATACCCCTGATCTCCTCCCTCATCCCATCTTAATCACTACTGTAATACAGTATTTGAACCTTGGCCTGCTCTTATCGTAAACCAAGTAACAGTTAAATCTGAAGGACAGTGTTACATGGTGACTGGTGCTGACGGAGGCTAGATGTTGCAACTTGGCCACCATATCTTCCTAATCAGGTAGGATGATGTCCAGTTGTTTGGTTGCTTGTTTCCCTCTCTACAGTGAGTTGGATCTTTAACATGTTAGAATATAAAATTGTCTCTGAGTTTCTACAAAAAGAGTAGTAGGATAATTAAGGTCATTTAGCGTGGTTTCATTTCTCCAGTTGATGTCACCATAGTTAAAGTTCCCTGTGACAAGGAGGTGACTAGAGTCAAGTGCCATTACATCGTCTATTTGTAAGTTCCTTTGGTTTAATTTAGCTGCAATTTGGAGATCTGTAGATACAACCAACAATGCGTAGGTCTCTCTCCTTTAGTTTAATTTTACACCGCTTTGATTCTTCAAAAACATTCTTCCCCTTCAAGTGAAATAAACTGGGGTGTCTAATCTTCAAGTGACAAACTGGGGGATGTCTAATCTTCAGGTGAAATAAACTAGGGAATGTTTAATCTTCAGGAGAAATACTTTTACCTTTATCCTCTTCACCACTGATAGGCTCACTAGCCACTTGGGCGATCGGTCACATCTGTTGGCAAGTACTGGGCATAATCTGGCTCCTGAATGTATCGGAACCAGGGGAGGGGGCCTGGTGTATCTAATCTTCAGGTGATTTGCGTGCTGAGAGGCTCCAATCACTCCAGAAATAATTGGATGTGAGCTGTGTTATTGTTGTTTTTTGCTGTTACATGCACACACAATCGTTCTTGTAGAATGTGCAAAAAAAAATTGATAGTATCACAAGGTCAAAAACAAAGGGAATAAATATTTCATACATGTGCAATGGAGTTAATCCACAGAACAAAGGAGGGGGTGAGGCGTGGGGGATCTCTCAGCTGTTCTGACTTGTATCATGTGAAATGATTGCTAAATGGCAATGCAGTATTTTTTATTTCTCTTATTTACTGTGAAGTGCTTTCACTGTTTTTGTGACGAGTGAGAATTGTAACTGAAAACGTCTAGAAGCTGTTACCGACGGCTCCTGCATCTGGGAATGCCAGGCTATTTCTTAATGATGTGGCGAGTGTTGTTTTATTGTTTTCTATTTATTCTATTAATGTACAAATTTTCTTTCTGGTGATACGTGTGGGAACATATCCCATTGAGCCCCATGTTATAATGAACTCAACTTGCAATGGAGTTTTCAGGTATGTAACCATCGTAAATTGAGGTTTACCTGCAAGTAATCATACTGGTAGTAAAACTAACCCCTGTTTTAACATATGTTCATTATTATTAATGAATTCTTTTATAATAATTTGGGGGTTTTGCTTGCAAGTCAAAGCTCGTTTTTTTTATTAACTGCAAATGAAATCCTTGCAAATTGGGGTCTGCCTGTATCACACTACACTATTATATTTGTTTATTTGTAAGAAAAAATAAAGTCCTCAGGTTAAACAAAATTTAAGCATATGTGTATTATTGTTATTAATTTGACTGGGTAGTCTTGTGCTGCTGGACAAACTGCTGCCTTGTGTATAGTACTGCACAAAGGAGAAGTCTTGTGAGCTTTAGCCACACTCCCTCTAATGAACTGTCTTGCCTATAGAACCTACTAAAATTTTATGTAGATACACCCAGGAATAGTTATCACAGGTAGTACACCCAGGAATAGTTATCACAGGTAGTACACCCAGGAATAGTTATCACAGGTAGTACACCAAGGTGTAGTTATCACAGGTAGTACACCCAGGAATAGTTATCACAGGTAGTACACCCAGGAATAGTTATCACAGGTAGTACACCCAGGAATAGTTATCACAGGTAATACACCCAGTAGTTATCACAGGTAGTACACCCAGGAATAGTTATCACAGGTAGTACACCCAGGTGTAGTTATCACAGGTAGTACACCCAGGAGTAGTTATCACAGGTAGTACACCCAGGAGTAGTTACCACAGGTAGTACACCCAGGAATAGTTATCACAGGTAGTACAGTAGTTATCACAGGTAGTATTATCACAGGTAGTACCCAGGTGTAATTATCACAGGTAGTACACCCAGGAGTAGTTATCACAGGTAGTACAGGGAGTCACCAGTAGTGGTAATTAGTGGTAGTATAGTAATCACAGGTAGTACACCCAGGAGTATATTACAGGTGGTACACCCAGTAGTAATCACAGGTAGTACACCCAGTTATCACAGGTAGTAGTAGTTATCAGTACACCCAGGTGTAGTTATCACAGGTAGTACACCCAGTAGTAATCACAGGTAGTACACCCAGGAGTAGTTATCACAGGTAGTACACCCAGGAGTAGTTATCACAGGTAGTACACCCAGGTGTAGTTATCACAGGTAGTACACCCAGGAGTAATCACAGGTAGTACACCCAGTAGTAGTTATCACAGGTAGTACACCCAGGAGTAGTTATCACATGTACACCCAGGTGTAGTTATCACAGGTAGTACACCCAGGTGTAGTTATCACAGGTAGTACACCCAGGAGTTGTTATCACAGGTAGTACAGTTTCACCTTAAGTGGGATACTTCACCACCATCTTATTATGGGAGTTCTCATCACTCAGAAGGTTGAGTAAAAAAAGCTAAACATAAGACTTCTCAGTTTACTGTGTAAGAAAAGGTAAGTTTATGTATTAACATTTACACATGGGAATATAATACAATCACCACATGTACTGCTCCTTACCACTAATCCAGTACACAAAAAAATACATATCCGTGGAGCACTAGTAGTTTGTATCAAAGGTGCTGTCAGCAGACCTCACGCAAATATTAACAATATCTATCAGTTCACCTAAGAGTGCTTGATAAAGTATAACTATCACTACTTAAATCAATCTCATATAAAAAATACACAGGGAAGAATTTTCAAGGAAAAAAATAATGCAACATAAGTGTCTAAAATGCAACAGATGTGACATCTGTAACACTGAATTTTCCAAGCTTGCAACATAACGTTTTCTCACTGAATAGCATCAATGCCCCTACATGACTTACAGAAAACTCCTCCTCCTCCTCCTCCTTACCAAGTACAGGTTGACAACCCTTTATCCGAAATTCCGAAAACCAAAAAAAATTTTGTGGGGCAATTTTTTTTTATCAGGGATTAGCCCACCCAGGCATACTGTAGATCACTGACCCACATCAGGGCCTGGGGGGCAAAAATGTAATAGTAATACTAATTATAATAATTATTCATAGTAAATAAAAATGTTAATTAAAAAAATACACCAAAATAAAATAATAATGACAATAAAATTTATAATAATAATAAAGAAATACAAGAATGAAAAGAGATAAAAAGTGAGAAACACGACCTAGACCTATGAATTTTTATTATATTTTTGCCCCCCAGGCCCCAATGTGGGTCAGTGACTTGTGCCCGGGTGGGCTAATAAAAAAAATAATAAAATAAAATAACCATTCTGAAAACCGAAATCCGAAATGCCTCTGGCCCCAAGGATTTCAGATAAGGGATTGTCAACCTGTACTTTCTTTCCTTAGTTCCAGCTCAAATTACTTTCTAGTCCCTTAATTTTCAATTTGTCTGCAATGGCAAGCTCTAATGCCTTGTTCTCTCAACATTGCTTCCAGAGTAATGTTGAAGTTTTACACTTCCTGGGTAACTGAATCCTTCATACTTGCAAGTAACTACATGGAGGCAGGAGGTCATCGTTTGTCAAGCATTGACTGCCGAGATGTATTAATGTTATATTTAGGTCTCCCCGACCAAAACTAAGTCAGTGTAGTCGAAGACATGCACACTTGAATGATCATATCTTCAACATACATTTTGAATAACTTACACACAAACCAATCGTGAATGATTCTCATTCATTCTGCAAGTAGATCCTCCCTGAAGCATTCTCCTAAAGGCTGGAAAATGCCTTAAGAATATAAGTCATCGTCCTCGCCATCTGCACCAAAGTTTCCACCGTGACCGCTGCCTCCCTGGCCCTGCTGGTCTGGGAAACGGAAATTGGAACCAAAACCTCGACTCTGCTGCAGCGTCTGGGAGAACATCTCGTACTTGCGGATGTCATTGTCAGAGACTGACCGACGTGCAAACTTCATGGCTTCTTCAAAGTGATCCCTAGTTATCTCTGGCACGGGATCCTCTTCCTCCATCTATTAATAAAATTAAAATGAAACTGATAATGGAATCAATAAAATATAAATTTTGTTCAGTTATCTAAAAAAAATCTAATTGAAAACAAAGAAGATACTTAATGTTTCAATTTGACATTAAATTTTACTGAAAACATTTATGATGAAATTTGACAAGATACTGTACTCACCTCCATATTGTCTCCAGCAGCTCGTTCTCTCTCTCGCCTGATGTCAGCCTCAATAGCCTGTCTGATGGCTAGTTTGCAAGCTCTCTGGCAAATCTCAGTCAAATCAGCACCAGAGAATCCATGGGAAACTTTGGCTAAGTAATCCAGGTCAACTCGCTGAAAAATAATTACCGGTTGTAATTTCCTTGTAGGTTTTGAATCTGGAATAATCCTATACTACACCAAAAACTAGAACAATCAATAGAAACCCATTTTCAAGTGAATACGTCAAATAACTTTACCCGTTACAACGCCAAATGTGCTACAATAACTCGGCAATAAACCAACAAAATCAACAGTGTTCACCATTTAGGTATAACGAACTTGATTAAAAAAATTTGATTAGAAGGTATTAAATATTCAAGTTACTGAGCAGAAATTAATTGCATACTGGCAGGTGGACATGAATAGGGCTAATTCCCATAACATTTTTCATAGGGAGGAATAAAATTCTAGATGGAGAGAGAGCAAACACACATCCTACCTTGGACACCGGGGACTTCCTCAGGCAAGCCTTAAGAATCTGTACTCGAGACTTCTCATCAGGAAGAGGGATGTAGATCAACTGGTCCAGACGTCCAGGTCGTAGGATGGCCGGGTCAATGATGTCAGGTCGGTTGGTGGCACCAATGATGAAGACATTCTTCTTGGCTCCCATACCATCCATTTCAGTTAGTACCTACAATAACATTTTTCATTTTGATAAATTCCAGATACGTATACATTTGCAATACAAGTACATCTAGTTCCCCTTACATGTTAGCCCATGTATGTGAAGGGTCAGTGCTTGAAACCCTCAACAATCAAAACAAATTCCTCACCTCCATCTATTCTGCAACAAAACTGACTGACCAATACCATGCCATAAGAGGATCGACCAGTATTTGACTCGGCCAGTCAATCAGGACAAGTATTCATACAGCATACTGATGCTACTAAACAATGCCCCCTCAATCATTCTATCTTTGGTCTCTCACAGGTGATGAGGCACCATCACCTCACATACATATTTTCCAGACCTGACCATCTGATGACTCTGTATTTAATTCTTCCACAACATTTTGATACTGTCCAAATTACCAGGGCCTTTATATGAATATAAATCAATCACAGTGGAAATTTTTCACATGGATTTCCTCTAACTACAGTACCTGAAACATTTCAAATTTAACTTTACTGTCACTCAAAACTGTTAAATTAACCATCTTGTCATTTTTATCCAACCCTTGGGTAGATATTTACCTTACCATGCATCAATGACTTCACAACGGTTTCATACCAATTTTCCTATTCAATGGTACAGTATTTCTTAAGCTTCCACTTCATTATGGATTCCTTCAAAACAAATGTTACTAACTACTTAATAGTATTTTAATCCACACAAAGTCATTATAACACCACAACTTGGTCAACAATGGCTATCATTCACTAATACTTTACTCATACTATTTTCTGTTATGTAGTTATCACCGTATACAAGGATGCAAAGCTTAAGCCTGACTATTTAATGCAATTTTCACCCAATGCATCAACTAAAACTATAATCATTATTCACAAAACTTATCAGCCAAATGAAGAATTTATATACCAAAAATTAATATATATATATAACCTTCCAAAACTAAGATGGGCCATTCACATGTAAGTCGGTATTATAGGAGGAATATTTCTTTTGTATGTGTTATATAAATGAAGAACAGGTAGTAGTAGTAAATCAGTTGGCTGTCTCAGCATCACTCACACTGTCAATGTTGTGGTAACTCTAGAATGGTCACAAAAGTCAATGATCCTCACTTGTTAAAACAGAAAATATTCCTACAAATCCCATCAAAAGTGACTTGAGAATGAGGACTAACCTGGTTAATAACACGATCAGCAGCACCGCCAGCATCACCTGCAGAGCCACCTCTGGCCTTGGCAATACTGTCCAATTCATCGAAGAACAGCACACACGGAGCAGCAGCTCTGGCCTGAAAATGCAAAACATAGTCAGTTCTCAACAAGGGTTATCTTAGCACGACTGTATTATGTTTACCAGGTATGAATAAAAGCAATTACTGTTGAATATACACTACGCGATCCTCCATTTGACCGGGAAATGATTCAGCCTTGTTTTAAAATGTAGCCAAAAGATTTATTTTTTGTTTTTTATAATGTATACCAAAATGAAAAACTGTTATTTCCACTTGGCACCTAAAGCAACTACTTGTTACATGAATTTTGTTTGTGGATGTTTCCCAGAACCATGAAGACGCTTACATAACTCTCAACAAAAACTCATCCTTGCTTAAACTCTTGATGCATAGTCATTTAACAATAGGTATGGAAGTAACCCATTATCTTGGACTCCAGAAAAATTTTTCCTATCAATATCAGTAAAGCGAATGATTAACTTGGTGATGCATTAGATACTTTTATCAGTAATATTCCTTAGTGATTTCTTAATGCAGCATCAATGGAGTCCAGAAACTACTTTACATATGTTAAAAAAGACACTGTACCTAGATAAGATCACAAGAAAGGCAGTAACTCTGTAAACAAGAAATGCATGTTCATCATTCTAAGCAACCCAAGGCTAGGCTAGGTTGAGTAGGTCATATTTTAATACCAAATGTTAATCTTAGAAGTTCTTTCATTCATATTCCCAGCTCAAGGGCTACTGGCCCCAATATAGTTTTATCTTGCTACCACTTAAAATATAAATTTTATTATGAATCATACTCCAGACCATCATTCCTCTGGCTACACAACATAGTAGTGCTCTCCATGCTAGGGAGAAAATGCTCTATACATACTGTAGTGCTAAAATAACATCTCTGATGAGAAGGCATAAGTTAAAACTGTATTACTGTATATATATATGTAGTATATAAAAAATCTCCCCCATCAACCACATTTGTTCAAGAGCCTCAGTGAGGATTACCTGTGCAGTGCAGTGCCACCACTACACTCAGATGTCTCCACCAAACATGTTTGGGTCATTGGAGAGCCCACTTTTGAGCTGCTACCGGCTAACTACTGAGCATAAAACATCACAAATGACTCACCTTATCAAACACATCTCTCACATTAGCTTCTGATTCACCAAACCACATGGTGAGCAGCTCTGGTCCCTTGATAGAGATGAAGTTGGCCTGGCATTCATTGGCAATAGCCTTTGCTAACAGGGTCTTACCTAGGAGGAGGTAAATTCAGTCAGTGTTTATAATTAGCTTTAAACTGCTTCTTGGTTACCTAATCTTTGTAGTTTACATTTCCTTCAGTTGTTGTTAAAGAACATACAACACCAAGGACTAGTAAAAGTAAAAAGATCTTAAAATAAAAGGGGTGAATGGAGTTACGGAACGGAAGAGTATAATGGTATACAAATGCACGAAATAAAAGATAATAAAGAAATCTTATGTCCACCAAAGGCCTTTGTTGAAAAATAAACTAAGTGATCTAAAAAATACAGTGAACTAATATAAGTATCAATGAGATGTGTCAGGTTGTATTCACATATGAAACATTGAGAGCTGTCAGGGTAATTTTACAGCTGGAAATGAAGTTGTATAGCAAGGTTAACTTGCTCTGCTGGGTACAGCAGGACAGATATTGCTCATTAAGGTGAACTGTTCTCAAAAGATAACTACAGTACATCTCATAAAACTAATACCAGTTTTGAGAAGGGTTTGGAAGTGGAGGTCTGACTGACTTTCTATCCAACATTACAACAGCTGGGTCACTGACACCAAGGAAATGAAGTTTTATGATAAGAATATGAAGCAAGGTGAAGGGTGGGGAAAAAAGACAAGAAAATAATATATTACTTAGCAAGAATGGCATAAATCAAAAACAACATTCTTTACTTGACAAGTCATCATACTAAGGACTCTTAATGTTTTAAATGCCAGCATTTCAACAACATATATGGACATTTATATTATACAGGTTATTAAGGAAAAGATTACATATAAACCCCTGTAAGCAAAATGTGACAACTAGCCCAGTGGTTACATTACTGTCAACAGATTTCACTGTTTCTGGCATCATCTCTGGCCTGGATGATGTCTTCAAGAGACAGGCAAATGATCATACATGCCCTCAATCCCAGATGTAAATGAGTACAAGTGTATCAGTTATTCCATCAAGATAATGTGTGGAGTTTAAAGTAGTATAATTTCCATTTCTTTTAACCCTTAAACAACATGTCTCATAAGTCTACTTATACAATTATGATATACTTAATATGGAAACAGTTATTTTATCACTCATAAAGCACATCTTGTGTCTCAGTGGATCTTCTCACAGTACCCACACCCAAATAGGGCTCTCAGTGTGCCTTTGTCTACATCTACATTCACCACCATCAGGAACAGTCTGCCCCACCAGCTACTACCCCACCCCCCTCACTCAGTCTCCACTTACAGTAATATCTCCGTTAGCCGGAATCCTTCAAACACGCAACTCTCCAATATCCGGATTTGACATTTTCCGAGGGGCACATTTTCCGGAAAAAATTCGTACCCAGAAAATTCTGGAGAGTTTTCTCCGGATTTGAGAGATGAAAATTAGGAGCATTTTCTGGAACTTCCGAGAACATTTTTCCATTACCCGGAAAATTTCAGGGACGAGGGATTTTTTTCGGCTTTGAGAGTCGTCTATTTACCCGGCAATTTCTCATTCCCGGAAGTGCTCTGCGTCAATTGATCCGGCTAACGGAGATATCACTGTACTTAAAACACTCCACTGCAGCTCAACAAATACAAGTGATAAATTTAATTTTTAATGTTCTTCTAAACGCATGTCTTTACTTTTATAAGATCATAACATGCCTTGAAAATCTGTATTTGTTGTGGTTTTTGCACATTCAGTAGTAAGTCAGTTTTCAAACAGCTCCACACTAAGGTATTAAAAGATTCACACACAGCAGGACACCAATGAGCTAAAATAAGATATCTAAGAAGTTTTCACACTACAGCAAGGTGTGAGCTTACTCTCACCATTACTGCAATATCTAAAGTAAATCTAATAATAACTGGACAATCAACTCCATAATATATCAAAAATATGCTTTGACCATAAGCACAAATGCCTACACCATATAACTTGATCTAACTATGATGTGGGATTCCACAATCATACTACTATTTTTCTGAGGAGATCAGTGTCAATGAAGTAGCAAAAGATGCAGCCACTCACCACAACCAGGGGGGCCATAGAAGAGGACACCCTTGCTGGGAGTCATACCAAACTTCAGGAATTTGTCTGGGTGCTCCACAGGATACTGGACAAGCTCCTACAATTTGATTGAGAAAAGTAAATATATGTTAGTAAACATAACTTAAAAACAGGCACTGTATGTAATTTATCAATCTAAACAAATACCTTCACATGAAAATTTGAAGAAGAACAATTGTATGACCTTACATTACAGTAACTAATAAGACATATGCAGATTCCTCCATCAAAAACTCTGAACATTTAAATTCAACAAGTATGAAAATCTCTCTAAATAAAACTCCCAAGTCACTGAAGTCAATACTTTGTATAATTCTGTGACATGAACATTAAGTCCATAAATCAGACTGGAAACTGTTCAGAATTCTGATGCCCACCACCATCTTTAGCTCTAAGTGAGTGTTAAAACTGTTGCAATAAATGCTTCTATACTTATGGAGATAAACTTACAAATTTTATTACACATGAAAATGGGTCATAAGAACAGTACTGTACTGAAATAAATGTTTTTATATATCTCTGAGTTCATTTACCATAGGTATAACTATTCAGGTTTGGTCATAAAGACTGTACTGAAATAAAAATCCAACTAAGAGATTTCCCTGGTGATGTGAAGACTTCTAAAAATATAAAAACAAATGAACTAAATACAAATTTACTCTAAAAACTGGTCAATAACTTACCTGCAACTCTCTCTTCACATTCTCCAAACCACCAATGTCGTTCCAGGTGATGTTGGGCACCTCCACCACAGTCTCACGGAGGGCTGATGGTGTGCTCTTACCCATGGCAAACCTGAAGTTCTCCATTGTCACCGCCAGGGAGTTGAGTACCTGAGGGCCATGACATTACACTTATTTCATGTTGCTTTTTAACTTAAACAGTGAATGTACAAATTTCTTCTCTGTTAATGGCTATGTTAAAAGTGTGATAAAATTAACCCCTATAATTATTAATACATTTTAACCACAAGATGCAAATCTCAGGAGAAAACATCCAACATTCAAACCCGAAGAATAATCTACACACATCCTCACCTCAGCATCAATCTGATCATCATCAAGATCAATGAGATCCATCTTTTCTCGGATTTGTTGAAGAGCAGCTTCTGAGCACAGAGCTGCCAGGTCAGCACCAACGTGGCCATGAGTCTCGGCAGCAATCTGCTCCAGGTCAACATCGTCAGACAACTTCATGTTTTTAGTGTGGATACGTAGGACCTCAAGACGACCTACGGACAACAATGGTATCAGCCACTTTGAATCCTAATGAGATAAAATGAATGCCCACAGCTGTCATTTGTGTTAAAACATATCAAAATGAACTTCAGTAGTCCTAGTCTGAAAAACAATTGCCAAAAATCCTTCACCTTCATAAAAAAAAAAGAGATTTAACATTTGGCTGATATAAAAAAATGAAAAACACATTACCTGTAGTGTCAGGAATACTGATGTCAACTTCTCTGTCAAAACGACCAAATCGCCTCAGTGCAGGATCAATGGAATTTGGTCTGTTGGTAGCAGCCATAACAATAACATGCGATCGCTGCTTCAGGCCGTCCATCAACGTCAACAACTGAGATACTATGCGTCGCTCCACCTCTCCGTGTGTCTGGAGAATGTTCAAGGATTAAACACAGAAGAGGAAGTTTCACTATCATTAACAAATACTTAAGATATTAATACCGAGTATTCCATAATATGAGGTGAGCTACAAGTCATTTTCTTAACTGGGTTTTCAATAAACAACTTATAAGTTATCCAAAAATAATACATGAACTGTTAAGTTATATCACCTTTTCACGCTTTGGTGCGATGGCATCAATTTCATCTATAAATATTATGGCAGGAGAGTTCTTCTCTGCCTCCTCAAATGCCTTTCGAAGATTACTCTCAGACTCTCCTGGGAAACAAACCTCCATTATTAAGGATTCATCCTTCTTAATTCTTTTGTCAAGTATTTCATTATTTTGTTTGTTAAACTAAAAACCTTCCAGGTACAATTTGGTTAACTTATTATTTTCACACACCTGCTAATTTAGACATAATTTCAGGCCCATTTATAAGGAAGAAAAAGGCTCCAGTCTCATTGGCAACAGCACGAGCGATGAGAGTTTTTCCTGTACCTGGCGGCCCATACAACAATATGCCTGTGGGAGAACACAAGGTTTAGTTGTGTTTACAAACACTTGTAATCATGTTTGAGTTAAGGTATCAACCACATAATAGTATCCATTTCCATACCTCTACTTAGTACAGTAAGTCCCCAGACTTATGACACTCTTCAATCCTGAAATCACGTCAAATGTTAAGAGTGTCGTGAGCCGGGTCCCAAATTTCTTAAGAACATATTTTAAGAGGCATTACTCATGACAGGGGCAGATCTAGCCATGATCCCAGAAATCCATTTTCCATGGTATCAGAATCATGTTTTAAAATTGTCTAAACTATTGATTGAAAACATAAAATTCTTTGAGTGGCAACTAGTGAAACTATTAACCCACATCTCAGCCTCACTTGTTCCGAGTTCTACTCATTTAGGATGATGTATAATCTAAAAAAATATTTATTTTTGAATTGTACATAAATATCCTCATCATATTCTTCTTTGCATACTACAATAAATACTATTACAGGAAAGACTCTGATAATGACGGTTGTACTAATAATGATTCATATTTAAGACCCTGGTTAATTTAGGACCCAATTCAGTTTACACCATTATTTTATTCGTATTTACGACGAAAACCAAATAAAAAATAAAATAAAATTACATTTTAATATAAATAATATATAAGTACACTCACCTCTCGGGGGTTTGACACCGATGGCTTTGAAGAGGGACGGGTGGCGGAGGGGCAACTCAACCATTTCCTTAATTTGTGCGAGCTGTTTCCTGCATCCACCAATGTCATCGTAACCCACCTCATTAAGCTGTTCCTCCTCCTCCTATATCGACAATCAGACAAAACAGATGCATGAATAGTAAGCAAGATACCTGTGGTATTCAACAGAGGCAAATATATACAACCAAAAACATGACCCCTTCAAAATCCCATCTGCCTTGTTCTGTTCCTACAAATACTGTAAGTGGAGGCAATGGTAAACACAATAAACACAATTGCTTTGGCTGAATAACTGCTAACCACAAGGTATTATAATCTCATGACTTGTTTTAAGGGCATAATTATCCTGACTTCCCATATAATCAAGGTAAGTTCTGAGATCACAAGCTACTAACCTCTCGCTTGACTGGTTCGCCCTCACAATAAATAACAGTGTCCTGGGATACAATGCAATATGGCGCTGGATCCGTCTCCACCACTTTGAACTCCACTGCCCTCATGCCTCCACGCACGAGGAACAAGTCACCTTTATGAATGGGTCGATATGCCTCCAGGAAGTATGGTTTAAGGAATACCTGTAATGTGTTAAATAATGCTGTAAGATACTGTACATTAAAGCCACGACTACAAACTGATTTCTACCATTGTCCATTTCTCTCTCAAACAAACAGGAAGCATATATACACCTTACCAAGCATTTGTCACTGTGAAGATATAAATATTAAATTTCTTAATTATCAAAATATTTCGGATGAATTAAATATTTATAAATACTAACTTTAGACACTTCTCACCTCAAAGATGTTACCCGTCAAACCTTCCACCGTGTCATCAATGGGCAAGACATGGATACGCTTGCCGTACTTCACATCTGGGCATGGCTGGATAGCCACAATATCTCCCAAACGAATGCGTAGGTTGTTTCTGACCTGTAATTATTTTGTATTCATTTATATGGATGAAAACTATTGTGTATCCTGCCAATTTTCGAAGTTTGAGTAGAAGTAAAATGAACCCAATTCACATTTAATAAAAACTGTGATATAGCATTTGCCTACAAACAAAGGGTTTCAGGTTTGTTTCCATCAATAAAAAGTATGTACAGTACTGTACAGGTTATGGTAGGAGAACCCTTTGGGATATTAGCATCCTGCCAGGAGCGTGATAACCCAATATCTGCTTAAGGCTAAGAATGACTGGCTCAGTAAGTTGTGGCCACTCTACAACATTGACAAATTCTTACTTTTTCAAAATCTGCATTCAGATTTTCAGCAAATCATACCAATCAAAGATACCAATGGCTCTATCAATTCAATTTCAAACCAAAGAAAATATCTACACTAACATTTCCTATCCTACTGAATAATGGTATGTCACCAGGGTATGTGTTGAACATGAGAAACCAGGCATCAATCAACTACAGTACAGTATTGTGTTAATAAACATTGATGAAATAAAGAGAAGGTAATGTACAAAAGCAACAGACAACAGAAGGGCACATATGTGTTAAACTACAACTCTACTTCTACAGAGAGGATGCCTTACCACACGGTTCATGCGGATTTTGTCATCAGACATGGTGTCATCTGAGAGTACAATGCAGACTGTCTGTTTACGCTTCTTGCCCTTGATGAGCACCGTGTCACCCCGGAAGAGCTGGAGCTCATCCATCTTGGCCTGACTCAGCGCCACCACAGAATTGTCATCGTTGACCGCATCCTCAACAACGAGGCGGTTGGGCTTTTTCTTCTCCTTCAGTATAGCTGTAGCCAAGTCTTCCCTGGTAAATAAATATATAATACATAAATTAATAAACGTATCCATTAATAATTCCACGACTATTCACATCATAACTCAAGCAAGATGTAGCTACAGAATAACAAAATAAATGATGAGCAGCCAGTACAATATGGGGAGTTTTTTTGGTATAAAATGAACCTGAAAAACACTTCCAACACCAAAGAAAGAAAAGTTTGGTATTTTTAGTCCATTAAATTGTCCAACACTGGATCTTTTTGTTACATAAAATATAGTTTGGTAACACTAAGACTTTAACAAAACACTAAATATCATACATAAGAAACTACAGTAACACACAATGTACAAAAAATAGCTGTAAGTATATATGACAAACAGCTTCTTCCGTGGCTGACTGCTTGGTCAACTGTTTGCACTATGTAAACAAAGCATCAAGAATTTAATAGGAGGCAGCTATTTAGCCGGGTCAACTGGTAAAATAGCCTACAGTTATATACAGCAGGACTGGTTATTGTATTTATTAACGATACATCTTACCTAAGCTGTGTGTGGTGAACCGGGTGATCTGGCTCAGTAACCCTTAAGCTATTTTACCATCCAAAAAATTAGGTTACATATATCGTCTATAAAAAAATAAACAACTCCGCTGTATACAACTGTAGGCTATTTTACCAGGTGGTCCGGCTCAAAAGCCTTTGAACTATTTTATGGTTTAACTTATTTAATACCACAATAACTCTTATGTGGTTGAGTGTGGGTTTTTTTTTTTGGGGGGATTTTATTATTTTATTAATCCAGCATCAAATGAACCTAAATATTATGTGAATTACAAAAACTGCTTACTGCACTGTCATTTTAAGGTGGTTGCAGGACCTGGAGGGGGGGTTCCTGCAGTCCAGCCAGCCTACTGCCCTACTTCCTATACAGAATTCTCTTCCCACTTTCCATCGTTTATAGTTTTATATCGTCTTTATTTCTAAGTCCCACTAGAGCATTGTATTGCAGTATTATATTAGAATATTTGAGATATACAAGGAAGGGTTCGGTACTGAGGTAATACAGTATAATATTGGAATCTGTGGAGTGGTTCTGTATATGGAAGTTCAGTATAAAGATAAAACAAGTGTGTAACCCATTTATTAATAACAGACCACCTCAACCACCCAAACTCACATGCAGTGCTGTACATAACTGCCCTAAGGTAATACTAGTTGGTTCGATGGGTGAACTCCTGTAACAGATTTTCACGTTCAACATTTCTTTATGCCTCCTACCACACTCGCATTGTTTCCATGAAGACGAAAGTGAACAACACCTCAGAAGATTATAAGAAATAAAGTATTAATGTTATTGAATAGTAACATCCATCCTCCACCAGCCCTGTACAGTCAAGAGTGATTTCAAGTTTGAGACAAATTAAAGCACAAAAACAGTGCCACTAAAGCGTGCAGTCTACAAAGATATCTTTAGTGTGTGCAGTTTACAAGGACGTGATCGGATTGAAGTTGCACTAACATCATAATACAGTAAAAGTCCAAAAATCCGGATGCCAGGAATCCGGACCACCCGAGAATCCGGACTTTTCGAAAACTTTCAAACTTTTTAAATTTAGCGGGCTTTTGTGGGTTATGTGAATGAATGGAGTTGCTTTAAAAAATTAATTTACATAATTCTAATAATAAAAGTAATTGTAAATTATAGGTAGCTAATTTTGTTAGTTTTGTAATTAGCTTGAACTGAAATGTAAAATTTGTGGCACTATAAATCTTTTGTGTGTATGTGTGCATGCCTGAACGCCACAGCTACACAGCGACAACAAGCGACCACGCGATCGCCACTTTAAAACACGCAATCAAACTGTAACAACGAATGTAATTTTGAGTCCTACTCTTTCCATGTACAGAGTACAAGCCCATAATAATAGCCCCTAAAGTAGATAAACTTCGTTGTGTGAAGAGAAAGAAGAACACATTGAAATTGAGTGACAAACTTGAAATAATTAAGAAACTAGAACGTGGTGTGAGCAATGCTGTTCTAATGGAAACATACGACATTGGAAAGTCTACAATTTATGATATAAAAAAGGCAAAGAATAAAATTCTAGAATTCACAGCTTCTTCTGAGCCTTACATTAAAATTGCTGAAAGAAAAAGTTTACATTGGCCCAAATTAGAAAATCTTGATAAAGTGTTGCACGAATGGTTTTTGTTAAAACGATCAGAAGGTATGGCAATTTCTGGGCCGATGCTTATTGCCAAAGCAAAGTCTTTTAAGGAGCAAATGAACATTGAATCAGAGTGCGCATTTAGTGATGGATGGCTTAGGAATTTCAAGACTCGTCATGGTATTAGACAGTTTGTTTACATTTTTGTCTAGTGTTGACTTTATTTTTCTTTAAAACTGCTCGTTTTGATAAATGAAGCATGCTTTATTTGCTAATGAATAAACTACCAAAATGTACCTGTTCATCTCTTCTTTATTCCTCCTTAAATTTTAATTTTAAAAGTACTACCTGAGAATCCGGAAAATCCGGACCGACCCAATCCCCAAGCAGTCGGATTTTTGGACTTCTACTGTACAGTACTAGATCACGAGGAAACTTTTTATAGTACTACATTCTATAGCAACTAAGTTGTAGTCTGCACGCTATACTGTACTGTAAATACGGTGTAGACCGCACACAATACTATAAATATGTGTTAGCCCACACATTATAGTGTAAATATGTTGTAGACTGCACACTATATTTTAAATATGGTGTAGACTGCACACTAGTGTAAACATGTTGTAGACGGCACACTATACAAGTACAGTACTGTAAATATGTTGTAGTCAGCACGCAATACTATAAATATGTTGTAGTCAGCACGCAATACTATAAATATGTTGTAGACGGCACACTATACTGTAAATATGTTGTAGACGGCACACTATACTGTAAATATGTTGTAGGCGGAACACTATAATACCTAGACCCCGACTTACGACGGGGTTAGGGACCCAAATCCAGGTCGTAAGTCCGATATGGTCGTAAGTCCGATATAGATAAAGTGGGTCTTTTCAAAAAAATTCAAAAATTTTTTTTCAAATTTTTTAAAAATCTACAATGAAATACAGTACCCTAAAACGTAAAAATAATGAGGAATGGATACAGTACAGTAAAAGTAATAAATAGAGGAATGGATACAGTGTGACTGAGCACTTACCTTAAATGTAGTCAGCTGGAATGCACACTAGGCCCCTCATAATTTTCTATTTACAGGATACATGGAGACTATATTAATTGGAAGAAGGAAGAGGAGACAGGGCTGGTGGTCATCAATGTCGCTTCCTTCAGACAGGTTTATGTACTGTGGTAACTTGGCTGGTTGAAGGTATTGGATCATCTTGAGTGGAGTGAAGAGGCACTGGTGGGGCGTGGAGGAGCTAGCAATTGGGGATTTCTGGAAATAGGTGTCCAATTTAGACTGCAACAGTTTTCTTTTCTTTCATTATAAATTTCTCTGTAGCAAGTAAGTGAATCTTGGATCATTCTGTCAACTTCGGCATAACGCTCATAATTTTGATCCATGCCATCAAACATTTGCATTCCTTTTATTAATTGTAGCAAATGCCTCTGCCATATGTTTCACTGAAAACTTTTTGGGGGTGCAGGCTCTTCTTCTACATTTTGTCTCTCTCTTCTTCCTCTGCAACTTTCTGTGCATCTAGTTCAATAAGATCCTCGTTACTGAGCTCTTCTGCTAAGAATTTTCAACCAACTGTCCAACATCTTCAGTATCAATTTCTAACTCCAGCTGTTTACCTAAGTCCACTATCTTGTTACTAATATCCAAAATAACTTCACTCTCTAGCTAAACTTTGAAACTGTTCACATATCTTTTCATAGGATTTTCTTCCATTCCATTTCATGCAATGTTTTGTAACCTGATCCCATGCTGCACTAATGTTCTTTATACATGACAAAATGTTGTACCTTCCAAAACTGTCTGAGCGTTTTCTCACCTTCAGTAGCAGCAGCAACAGCCTGAGCGAAGGTCGCTGTGAAATAATATGCTTTAAAGGCAGAAATAGCACCTTTGATCCATGGGTTGGATGATGAGGAAGTGTTAGTGTTATGTAGACTACCTTAACATCAATGGAACTTTTGTTGCAGACAATAATTTTGGCCTGTGTGGAATGAAATGCCTATGAACCAATCCTCAAATAGCCTAGGTCATCCAGGCTTTCTTGTTACTGCGATAAACACTGGCAGTGTGTGCTTGCTTATGTTTAAAAGCCCTGGGGTTCTCTGAATGAGGATCAGCGAAGGGCTTTAGCTTGGAAACCAGCAACATTCCCCCAACAGAAGTGTAATTCTGTCCTTGGAATGCCTTGAATCCGGGCATTTTTTTTTGGCTCTTTGTGGATGTATGTCCTGTCAGGCATGCGCTTCACAATAATCCAGTCTCATCCACATTGAATAATATTTGCTCTGGCAAATACCCCTTCCACAATCACATCATCTAACTCCTCCTTAAAAGCTTCTCGGCAGCACCAACATCGGGTATCTAGCTGCCTCTCCACTCACCCAACACTGTGTAGGACTGGTGGAAGCTTTTTAAATCTTAATAAACCACCCCTTGACTTCCTGTAAAGGTTTGATCACATTCATCTCCTGCCTGCTCCTTCAGGCTTTGGAACAGGCTTGCTTTAGCCTGTATGGTTAGAACACTTAAGGGTACACGCTTCTGTATCTGGTCTTCTTATCCATATCACCACAATTTTTCCATATCGTGATAGGACCTTGTTCTTTTCTTGTTATTATAGTTCCCTTTTATAGGTGTTGTTCCTTTCACTACTTCACGAATAATGCCTTGTCCTTCAGAATAGTGGATATAGTCGAGTGTGAGAAACCTAGGGTCGCTGGAGATTGTTGCTACTTTTCGTTTTTCCATTCTCATACTGTGTTATTATCTTCAGTTTCATCTTCAAAAAGTAATTGCCTGTCTCCTTTCCCTTGAGTACCACCAGCACTCTCACTTTACGCTTCCAGTCATTATAAAGTCAATTAAATACAATAATAACGAAAAGTTCACAGCGCGATCAGTATAGGATAATGAGAAATAAACACAAACAAAGCGCTCCACTGAGTGAGTGCAGCCACGAGGGCGAATCTAAGCCATCCTCCTCTCGCCTGACGGAAACGTTGTATAGAAAATGCGCTGCATTTGAAAAAATTTTGGTCACGGGCGGTCGTGAGTCAGATGTCCCTATGGACGCACGTGTCAAAGCAGGTCAAGTACCATTGGACGTAAGTCCGTATAGTCGAAGTCGGGTTTAGGTGTACTATAAATATGTTGTAGACGGCACACTATACTGTAAATGTGTTGTAGTCCGCACACAATACTATAAATGTGTTGTAGTCCGCATGTTATACTATAAATACGCTTGTAGACAGCACACTATACTGTAAATATGTTGTAGCCAGCACACTATACTGTAAATATGTTGTAGTCAGTACACTATACTATAAATATGTTGTAGACGGCACACTATACTGTAAATGTGTTGTAGTCCGCACACAATACTATAAATGTGTTGTAGTCCGCATGTTATACTATAAATACGTTGTAGACAGCACACTATACTGTAAGTATGTTGTAGTCAGCACACTATACTGTAAATATGTTGTAGTCAGCACACTATACTGTAAATATGTTGTAGACGGCACACTATACTATAAATATGTTGTAGTCAGCACACTATACTATAAATACGTTGTAGACGGCACACTGTACTGTAAATATGTTGTAGACGGCACACTATACTATAAATATGTTGTAGACGGCACATTATACTATAAATATGTTGTAGACGGCACACTATACTGTAAATATGCTGTAGTCGCATGCTATACTATAAATATGTTGTAGTCTGCACGCTACACCGTAAATATGTTGTAGTCTGCACGCTATACCGTAAATATGTTGTAGACGGCACACTATACTATAAATATGTTGTAGACGGCACACTATACTGTAAATATGCTGTAGTCGCATGCTATACTATAAATATGTTGTAGTCTGCACGCTATACTATAAATATAAGCTGTAGTCTGCATCGCTATACCGTGAAACATGTTGTAGACGCACGCTATACCGTGAACATGTTGTAGACGGCACACTATACTATAAATATGTTGTAGACGGCACACTATACTGTAAACATGTTGTAGACGGCACACTATACTATAAATATGTTGTAGACGGCACACTATACTGTAAATGTTGTAGTCCATCAGGTATTACAAATCACTTTAAAATATGGAGTGAGAATGCAAAAAAAGTTGGGGGTGATTAGAGAGATGGAGTGAAAAGGAGTGTTGCCAAGTGCTCCTCAACAGCTGATCTTTAACTCACTACCACAGTCACACACTTGTGCACCAGTATATATTCTATTGGGAATTTTCAATGTTCCGAGTTATGAACAGATCGACTTACAATCAGGGTGCAAGAATGTATCCCTGTCGTAAGTCGGAGAGCGCCTGTACATGTGTAAATATGTTGTTGCCTGCATGCTATACATGTGTATTAATATGTTGTACCCTGCATGCTATACATGTGTATTAATATGTTGTAGCCTGCATGCTATACATGTGTATCAATATGTTGTAGCCTGCATGCTATACTTGTTTAAATATGTTGTACCCTGCATGCTATACATGTGTATCAATATGTTGTAGCCTGCATGCTATACATGTGTATCAATATGTTGTAGCCTGCATGCTATACATGTGTATTAATATGCATGCTATACATGTGTATCAATATGTTGCACCCTGCATGCTATACATGTGTATCAATATATTGTAGCTTGCATGCCATACATGTGTATTAATATGTTGTAGCCTGCATGCTATACATGTGTATGAATATGTTTACCCTGCATGCTATAATGTATCAATATATTGTAGCTTGCATGCCATACATGTGTATTAATATGTTGTTGCCTGCATGCTATACATGTGTATTAATATGTTGTACCCTGCATGCTATACATGTGTATTAATATGTTGTAGCCTGCATGCTATACATGTGTATCAATATGTTGTAGCCTGCATGCTATACTTGTTTAAATATGTTGTACCCTGCATGCTATACATGTGTATCAATATGTTGTAGCCTGCATGCTATACATGTGTATCAATATGTTGTAGCCTGCATGCTATACATGTGTATTAATATGTTGTACCCTGCATGCTATACATGTGTATCAATATGTTGTACCCTGCATGCTATACATGTGTATCAATATGTTGTAGCCTGCATGCTATACATGTGTATTAATATGTTGTACCCTGCATGCTATACATGTGTATCAATATGTTGTACCCTGCATGCCATACATGTGTATTAATATGTTGTAGCCTGCATGCTATACATGTGTATCAATATGCTGTAGCCTGCATGCCATACATGTGTAAATATGTTGTAGACGACAAGCTGGTGTAAATGTCATTATAAACCACATGCTAGTTGCTCCCCTAGATCTTAAAATTCATGACCATTTGGATTCACCTGAAGAAACTGCACCCCAGCTTATTTCACATAAATAGCAACCACCCTAACCTAACCTCATACTTCCCAAACAGCATTAGGGTGGTTAATCTTCACGTGTAATAAACTTGTGTGAGATTCTGCAGGTGATCCCCATTCAAATTATTCAGATAGTGCCCTACATGTGCCACTGGCCCACTACTAACTAACCAGACCTGTGGAAAGATCTATATGTATTATAGCAACACAAAGACCATCAATTAACATCAATATTCATGTTCTAGAGAAACTTTAATAACAAGTGTTTAGGTTTTAAGGTTTACATCATAGTTTTACCTTTCATAAATATAAAAAAATAATATTCAATACTGTACAAGCAGTTCACATACGTATATATATATATTTAAATCATATATCCACATAGAAATTATAATACCTAAATAAACTACAAATTCCATACACGCGTAATGAATTTAATTTCATAACCTCTATACTGTGGTATGTACAAATTCCTGTACACACATCGTCTTGAACACGTTTATTAAGCATTCATGTTAAACGTGTCCAGGACCAGCTCCCAACCTTACTTCCATTTACTCAATATTTCTACATTATTATTTGCATTACCTAAAGGGAACAGAGATTATTTGTTCAGCGGTTTACTTCTGAAGTGTACCTCAACATAATGTACCACGCTAACAGCTGAGTGAACCCGTTCTCTCTAATGCCTTTGTTGTAAACATTTTCATCCTCATACTAATATTATCCATAATCATACCATTACCACACTCGCGCCTTCACCGTACCTACACCTATGGTCACACAAATCTCATATTAACAAGTTATGGGAGGATAATGGCGTAAAACTATGATAATACAGAAATGGCTGGTGGCCGCTCACTCCCGAGGTGACGGAGCAAAATTGAAGGTTTATGGACGCTGTCTCACCACACATGACTCATATAAATCTAAAATTTCATCTAAAATACACCATCCTAATAACTAATTTTGATACGGGAAAACCATAACACATCCTACAACATAAATATATAAGAAAAATGCCACCAAACATATAAATTATCGAGAATATAGGTCGAGAAAACCACGGACCCCCAACACCGGTAGCAATGGCACAAATTACCCTAAAATACCAATTTAAATCCTCAACTAACAATATTTGGATTTAACAACAAGTTTTTCACTCACTGTTCCGCCATGACGTTTGTGTTTATTACGATTTACTTGAAGATGACCAACCACTGACTACACCTGACGCCTGACGACCGCTCACTGCTGCTATCTGACGTGGTGTCCTGCAGCCTGATTCGTCGCCACTGTCATCCCGTCCATTGGTCTACCTCGCCCCGCTAACTTTAAAAACCATCATAATCATCAATGTCTCATAATCATAGTAACCTACAATAATCATAATGCATTGTATCACTACTACTCATTATAAACCTATGTGAATGACGAGGCCAGTCATGATAAGAAAATATACATAATTTATCACAGAATTCTATACCTATAGCATACTAGTAAATCAAGATAGACCTAGAATGTTTCAGGATTCTTTTAATCAAAAACCTAAATTAAAACGTAAGAGAAAAGTTAGATATTTACGAATCAATGCAAACCTTCATGGAAATCCTTGAGTTAACAGTAATGGAATGTACTGTATACATACTCGGGAAAACAGGTGGACGAATCACAGATCTAGGAAAACCCTGCAAGAGAAAATACCAGATGTGGAAGAAATACCCCAATACAGGGCATCATGGAATTAGATCAGCCAAACGGCATTTTGAGATGAAATTAGGCCAAAATATTAAGAAATGTCCCAAGTCCTTTTATGCTATGTCAGGAGTAAATTGAAAACCAAGGATACTGTCGGTCCTTTAAAGAAGCTAAACAACGTGGCCCTCGAGGATGACAGATAAACAGCCGATAACATGCATGATCTGTTCAAATGGTCTCGAGACTGACAAATGCTCTTTAACATTACACGTAGGATACAACAATCCGAATCACAACTATTCTGTTAATAATACTTCCCTGGATACTGTCGATAAAGAGAAAGATCTGGGCGTCGTGATGGATCAGTTACTGAAGGCTACGCGATAAATGAGAAAAGCAAATCGAGATTTGGTAATCATAAAGTATACCTTTGTATACAAACACAGGAAAATGCTCCTTCAGCTCTATAAATCTCATGAACGTCCCAGTGGTCCCAGTCTGGATTACTGTATACAGGCATGGAAACCCTTGTAGTGGATTTCTCCCCTACAAACGCTGTTTGTCGCTGAGTAGCCGACCCCGCGAATTCCCCAGTGTGTGCCACGTGGTCTGGGTCAACCAGCGCCGCCATACATCACGGAGGTCAACTATTAAGTCACGCCTACCTCCGCTATATAAGACCTGACCTCGTGGTGACCTATCTCTCTCTTCTTCTAGCTACAGCCGCAGCAAGCTACAACACCCCCGCCGCTGCCTGGCGGCCCTCGCTCCCGCCGGCGAGCATGGCGACCCACAAGCTGTCCTCCTCTGAGCACCCTCACCAACCAGCTCTCTCTACATCACGCTTGTAACCATGCTGCCTTCCCAGCACCAAGCTGCATTGTACATCCAATACAACATGTATACAGAGAGCACATTGTGAGTTTCCTTTCACCATCCCATCCTGAGTGTGAACCCTAAACAACCCGTACCCCACACCCTACCTCCAGAAAGATCTAACATCCCTGGAAAAGATGCAACACAGAGCGACTAAGATGATTCCGGAATTATGTTATCTCGATTATACAAGTAGACTGAGGGCCTTAGGACAAACAACCCTTCGGACAAGGCACAATAGGGTAGATCTCATTGAAACATTCGAATTCCTCAGAGTGATGGAAAACCTGAACCCGGGACATTTATTTGAGGTGCCAGGCACCACCAACAGGCGAGGACATAATTACAAACTGGCCAAGTTATCACGCAAAACGAATGTAAAGAAATATTTTCTCCACAAAGAGGCAGGTAGACCCATGGAACAGTCTACCAGCCCAAGTTGTGGAATAGAGAACAGTACTGGGTTTCAAAAATAACCATTGACAAAATTATCAAGAACAATGGAGGGATCCTATAAAGGCCACTGGCCTTCTTCCCTCGGCACGGCCACCTCAAGTGGATGGTCATTGGGTACCTTTACTTTTATACTCTTCGCCACTGATCGGCTCGCTAGCCGCTTGGGGGATCGGTCACGTTTCTGTTACGCACTGTTGGCAGGTACTGGGCATGCACCGGCTCCTGAATGAACCTGAACCCGCTCCAGTGTTGGTCAAGTCTTCTCTTGAAAGAGCTCACACTCGGTGCCGTCACAACACTCTCCTTTAAATCATCTCTTAAAAATATCTATTGTCTAAGTATTAATATTTCTTGTAATACCTACTATATTTACAGTACCTGCTTTAATTGTACCATCAAAACCGTTTTATCGGAAATTATAATGTAAATACATAAGAAATTACCATTGCAATAAATATATTTGCCAACTAGACATAACCCTGACAGCTTCTGTCCTAGTGTTCAACCTTAATACTGTACAACCCATGTTGTGCTGCTTCCCCATTATATTTATGTTTTTAAACTCCACTGTAATTTATGTATATACCTATAATATAAATAAAAAATAAATATATATATTGAAGTTGTAGTGGACGTCTCCCCTACAACTGCGTAGCTGCATCCCACCTGCGACGCTTTCCTTAGCAACCAAGCGAGCGGCTACACCAGATGGTACGGTAACCTAGCAACGGAACCAAAAGACCGGCGACTTCCTCGGGTTTTCCCAACATGACTCATAGAGGACTCGCGGCTGTTGGGTATATAAGCTCTGTCTCTCCATTTAGATTCATTCTCGCCTCACTTCTACAACACGCAACACCTCCTCCTCCGCCGCTGCCTGGCGGCCCTCGTTTCTCCTCGCCTGCCTGGCGGTCCTCGCTCCCGCCAGCGAGCATGGCGACCCACCAGCTGTCATTCTCTGAGCTTCCTCACCAACCAGCTTTCTCATTCTGGTCTCTCTTCTTGAACAAGCAACACCTCCTCCAGCAAGCTCCACGCTGTCAGCATTCATTCAACCAGGAGGCCAGCAACAGGCAACATCTTCTCTAACGAAGCTCCTGCACATCTACCTCCTTCAACACGCTACTCACCGAACGTCTCTACTGAGCAGCTCCTCACCACACGGCACCTCCAGCACCAGACTGTAAATCATATATCTTATATTATACAAGAAAACCACCTTAGAGTTTCCATCCATCCTGAGTGCTAGACAACATTATACCACGAATACCTACAAAGTGATAGCCATGGTAACATTCTAAGATGTTCTTATTACCACCATGCTATTGTACTATTCCAGATGATACTAAATGTTACATAATACTTCCTTGAGATAAATGTAACACTAAAATAACACAAAAATCTCATTAAAATTACACTGACATTATTACTTCAGCTAGATACAGTAGTAGACAAAAGTACCCCCCCCCCCCACGTGTATATATTGTGAGTCATTGATACAGTTTTACACACAAGAGAGCATTAAATGGGTGGTCTGTAGTGGATCTCTCCCCTACAAACTACATCTGCATTCCAATGGGACAGTATCCTAGCAACCAAACGAGCGGCCGAGGGGGGGACGTCACCAGCTGCTACCGTATCCTAGCAACACGGGGAGGGGGAAGGGGGGAGGGGATCGCCACCTGCTACGTCTAGCCTAGCAACGGAGTCAAGAAACCGGCGAGTTCCCACGGGTTTACTTCTGGCTGCTGTGTATATAAGCTCGAATTCTCTCCACTGAGATTCACCTAAGGGAGCAGAACAAAGAAAAAACACTAATAGGGAAGATGAAGCGATCTGGTTGAGCCCACATTCTTTCTCCTACTGTATTTCAGTTTCACCACTTTTTCTTCAACCCCTAATAATCTTCTTTCACCTCATAACTAATGACTCCGTACCGTACTGAGATTCATTCTGGCCTACGTTCCTGAACACGCAACACCTCCTCCAAGCAAGTTCCTCGCTGTCCAGCCCTCATTCACCCTGGAGGACAGCAACCCGCGACATCTCCTATGAAGCTCCTGCACAGATACCTCCTCAAGCACGCTACTCACTGAACGTTTCTTTCAAGCCAGCCTCTCACCACACGGCATCTCCAGCACCAGACTGTCTTCCATATAATACATTTTATATAAGAAAACCACCATCTAGAGTTTCCATCCGTCCATCCTGAGTGCTAGACAACATTAATATCTCGATACCCCTACAATAGCCTGGCCTTGCCTCAAAAACCCGAACAAAAACCTGCCACAACACTGTAAATATCATTTAAAGATTCAACTAACACATAAAAGCCTAGAATGTTCCAGAAATTATCCTAAAAAAATCAGTATCTCATGTTGTAAAAAGTCTAATAAATGACGTAATATTAAGGAAGGAAGTAAGAAATTTCATCATCATGTGAAAACCCGGCTAGTCTGTGTTGTGCCTTTAAGGAAATATACTCCAAGCAGCTTTACCTCACGTCTAATCATACAAATTTCATAAAAAAACAATCCTAATATTATAATCTAGGCTAACTTCGTATATTTTTTATGGACTTCCCACCAGCGATATTAAAAAAATAACTGAAGTATAGCAAAACTGTTTAGAACTATGTATTTCTCTAATATAATATATGGTGAAGAAGATAATGTGGACTTTATTTTATAATTAACTGCAATTCAATGTGATAACAATATATTCAGATTAAGATTTATCATCCCATTTTGAACTTCCAAATGCAATTTACTGGACGTCAATGGACCATATTATCTATACTAAAAGTTGGTTTCTAAAAAGATATGCTTCTCGACTCTGGGAAAAATCTGCTCGTTAATTAATGTCTCCATGCTGTTATGCTGTGATGGGCCACATGGCTTCTGATACATTGCAGCATTTTTTAGCATGAGTAATGATGAAGACTAATATACCCCCCTGTATTTACAATTATATTTTCTTGAATAATCCCCCAATTCCTCCTCAGAGATGTCACTCCTTGTATAACATAAACCATCTGTCCCATAATCATTGTTCTTGACATTTAATATAACTTTTTGGCTTTGAGATTTAATTTTCCTTCATTATTTATCTTGAATCTGAATTTGCAGTGAGAAAACGTGGGATTTTTTTTTAGTTTTATCAAAGGGTAAATACGTGTTGAGGACCGTATACCCGAACTTAATTAAAAAAACAAAACTCACTGTGACTAAATTGCCATAATATTTATTTCTCCATAACGTAATTCATCTTATGTCAGCTAACAACCTCAGTACAGTGTAACGAGTGGCAGCTGTTGTGACGTCATCAGTAAACACAGGCCGGGACGTCAGGTGTAAACGTTACTTTTAACACAACTGTTACATTAAGTATTGTTAAGAATCAATAAGTGGGTGACATAGACAAGAAGGAAGACCACAGGATAATATTAGTAGAAGGTTGACAATAACGAACTTGAAGGAGTAGAGAAGGTTCTCACTCCAGAGATGATGAAGACTATAACTGTCAAGTGGAACGGCAAGGAATATGACATCGAGGTGGACGAGGCCGTCATGACTGTCAGGGACTTCAAAAATGCCATTGAAAAACAAACTTGTGTTAAACCCCACCGTCAAAAACTACTAAACCTCAAGTTAAAAGGTGAGTTCCTGGCATATGGTCCAGACCTTGACAGTGAAGAGTATGAACCAAACACAACCATCACGTCCAGAGACCTGCTGTACTGTATAGTGTTAAGGTTTTAGATCCACAATGGAAACGTGGACAAGATAAATCTCGATAAAATCACACGGGAAAAGGGAAACAACAGAGCACCTTAGCTTTCATCTTTATTCAAGACATCTTCAGAGGCAACGCTGAAGGAAGAGCGTGAATATTGGTTGACACATAATCAAGTTACGTTACTAATACTGGTCTTGTTTCCGTGTGGTTGTGCCTTTTTAAACAAATCTATCCAGAATACCATTAACATACAATGACATAACTAATTGTATATGTGTGTTGGCCAATATTCTCACTCTTCGTTCTTTTATATCCTTATTACTACTGTCTTTCATTCTTGACGTTGACATGTCAGAAGAAATTCCTGACGATGTCACGATGTCAGCCACTCCGTAGAACAAGTTTGTTATACCGGAAGAAGGACCAGAGAGGAGCCCTGAATCATACACTGTACACTAACTGATTTGTTTACTAAAAGCTGGAGCTGGATAATCAATCTGTTTTTATGCATGTCTATATTTTGTTGACTTATGACCATTTTAAATGTTTACATCGCCAAGTTTTTAAATTGAAACTGCCAAATCTATTCGTCTGAAATCTGTAGATTACAATAAAGTTATTCTAAACCACATAGTGTGAAATATGTACTTATAGTGCAATGTTTGTGTGACGGAATAACATACTTACATAATGAGATGCAACCATTTTAAAGCCTGCATTACATTTCAATATTTCACTGCACTTTCCTACAAGATTTACATAATCTGTTTTTTTGTAATCATAGATAAAGCTAAAATGCATGGTATATATACAGGTACTAATAGGTATGAATTATCTCTTGAATTGGGTGTAAGTAATTTTGGGTACGAATTATCTCGTGAGTTGGGTCCGAGTTGTCTTGGGTACGAGATGACCCTAACCCTAATGTTAACATGGCTCTAATACTACATGTTGAGTAAAGTGGAGGAGATGGATGAAATTGCACCAAAACTTCTGCAGATGTTATTTTCATGATACTAAAGAACACAGAAATGACAATGCACAGAACCTGATCTAACCCACCTAACCTGACCAACCTAATCTAACCTAACCTAACCTAATCTAACCTAACCTAACCTAACCTAATTACCTAACCTTACCTAACTTCCTTATTAACATAATAAGATGCTAACTGAGGGGGGGGGAGGTGAATAGCCTCCCGGACCCCTGTAGCAGAAAAATAAACTTACTTTAATATTAGGGTGGGTCGAGAACAGCGATGGCATCCAACCGTTACACTTCAACAAGTACCGGGTGTTTTTCCTTTAATATTAGTTCCCTGCCATATTTTGGACACCTGTACATCCTTCCAATATGTCCATGATCACATATTGAGACCTTTAACACGGTCTTGATCCTCAACAGGCACAGATAACTTGTCATAACTAAATACAGTAATGGAAAATGATGCTATAACTGGGTAAGAGGCTAAGTGTCCCCTTCAGTGAGAACAATAAGATTAGGGAACAAAAAACTAAGGCCTATTAAATTGAAAACAAGAGCCAAACAAGCCAGTATTTACAGTATTAAAACCTACCTGAGATCCTCCAGCACTTCTTGTATTTGTTGACAAATCTTGATTAACTACTTTGCTGTGTAAGAGGAAACAAGAACAATGAACAGCAGAATATTTCCTGTAAATGGATTTTATCTTTGCATACAAACCACGTAGAAGTGTAAAATGACAGTAAACCCTCGATAACTCGGCATATATGGTCTCTGGCCTTGCCGAGTTATCCTAAATTCTTACTTATCAAGGCACTTCCCCCTCCTACAAAACATACAACAATAAAAAATTATCAACCCATATATGTGTACATGTAATTACTAAATGTAAAAAAGTAACACTTACCAGCAGTGTAGGTGAAGAGTGAACCATCACAGTAGGCGACACAGATGCATACTAGGTGATGCAGGTGGCCAGATATGCCGAGATTTTCCAGATAATTTTACATATCTCGGCATTTCCCGAGTTGTACTAATACATTCTGAGACCATATCCATGCAGAGCTATCGAGGGTTTACCATACTGCCATATGATCACTGTTCGGTGTGTTTTAACCCCGTAATGTCCCGCTTCTTTCATGACCTGCCTACTGTAGCGTACTGTATGTGGCCAGTACTCAATTCTCTTTGTATGGGCTCACATACGTACGCACAAGTAGATATCTCACACTCAGGATTGAGGTAGGACAGAAACTCACAAGGCATTTTCTGTATATATTGTATGTATAGTGCAGTGCTAAGGAGTTGCCGTGTGGTGAGAAGCTTGCTCAGAGGTCCTGTTGGGTGAGGAGCTTGCTGAGGGAGCTGGTTGGTGAGGCACTTGTTTGGAGGTCTTGCCGGTTCAGGAACGTGGAGTAGAATGTCTTTCAAATGCGAGACTGAGAGCTTATATACTCGGCCACCAGAAGTAAGACCGGGTGCAATTGTCGCCGGTGTCGACCCCCCATGTCTAGACTTGTCAGAGAAACTTGGCGCGACTCTAGGCGATTAGGCTTTGGCTGAACTCCGCCGCTATGAAATGCGGCTAGGCTTGTCAGCTGTAGGGGAGAGTATCCACTACAAGTGATTGAAGGCAGAACAAAATGAAGAAAAAAAATGCTTAAAATTAAAGGAAAAAGTTGTCATATAGTTTTTATTACTTCCTATCATCCAAATAACATCTCTGGAAAAAATGAACCAATTCTATACACTCCTTCTGGTGATAACCTTCTCCACTTTTAGGGTATTTTAAAAGTTGCTCATAATGTCCCACAATATTTTTTGGTCCAGTTCTAGGTATATCTCGTCATTTGTAACAACTTTTCTTAGTACTGTATAATGTTTCTGTCGTAAATGATTAGTTTTCAAGAAAATCACATTAATTTTTTAGGGAGTCATCAAATATTTTCTAAGTCCTAGACAACCCACTACCTGCTCATGCTTAATAAGGTAAGGTTAGTTTAGTTTGGTTAGGTTAGGTTGATTGCTTCGATATGAGCTCTCTTGGGGGGTCCTGGGGGCAGAGCCCCCAAATCAGCCAGGGGGTTCCAAGGGGGATGGAGCCCCCCTTGGTTAAGTAATATGTATATTCTGAACAATGGCGGTTAGGTTAGATCAAGTCAGGTTAGCACAGAAAATGATTTTGAGATGAAACTTAGGTTTTTCCGATGGGTTTTGGTGTGATTCATTCAAATATGATAATAATCTTTTGCCAAAACTTGGCCCTGATTCTCAAATTTTGGCCATTTTTTTTACTTCTTAAAACAGAAAATCCAAGCAAACTGATCATTTATATAGCATATCACTTGTTTTAGCCCCCACCCCACGCCCCCCCACCCACCCAATAACCCCTATTATCCCACGGGTCCCCCAAGATTATCAAACTCAAAAAACGAGTCATTTGCGATAGAAATGAAGGCCAAAATCGTTCACAACACCTCAAAAACTTTTGGAAAAATTTAAATTTCATGTCCAAAACCATTATGGGCAACTTGTAAAAATTTACCCACTTTTACCACATTTTTTTTTTCTACCATGGAGAGTAGTCTGGGTAAAAGATTTGTTTTATGCCATAATGTGAATTTAATAACCAAAATAGGTAAAGATTCAGAAAAGGTCCACCACGGAACTCTGTAGTAAGTTGTATATACGGTAAGGAAATGGAGCAGAAAAAACTTTACTCCATCTCATTCTTGTTGGAAATTTATATTTGTACTTTTTTTTTTACTTTTCGATTTCATTTAAAAAAATGTACAGTACTGTAGTTTTGATTACCCAAAGTGGGCAAGGCTTTGAAGTAGAGGGAAATTGTTGGGTAAAATCATGCAAAAAAAATGACAAAACCAAACCTAACCTAACCTGAGTGACTATAACAGAAGACTTTAAAAAGTTTAATATTTAAGAACAGTTGCCCAGGTTAAAGGGGAAGTTCTTACGCTTATCATGAACATCCCCAAAAATGATGAAGGAAATAAATTTTTTGCCAAACATAAGATCTAGAACCTAGCCTAATGACTCAAAAGACGTTTGGTTTAAAAGTTTATAATATAGTGTATGAAAGGTTAGGTCTGGTTTTATTTTTGCTTGTGTTTTAACCCCACATTTTCCCTCATCTTCAAAGCCCTGCTCACATTGAAAGAAATCATTCCTGTTGGTGTTAAATGGTCATATATCCATAAAAACATAAGAAAACCCTATTTTGATTACCCAGTACAGTATTAAATTCCCACCATGGCATAAAACGAATCTTTATTGTATAATCTGTTAAAGGCAACCCTTCACACAGGTGCTGTCATGAGATGTTTTGTACCATGAGACACTTGTGGGTTCTGTCATGAGATGTTTTGTACCATGAGACACTTGTGGGTTCTGTCATGAGATGTTTTGTACCATGAGACACTTGTGGGTTCTGTCATGAGATGTTTTGTACCATGAGACACTTGTGGGTTCTGTCATGAGATGTTTTGTACCATGAGACACTTGTGGGTTCTGTCATGAGATGTTTTGTACCATGAGACACTTGTGGGTTCTGTCATGAGATATTTTGTACCATGAGACACTTGTGGGTTCTGTCATGAGATATCTGACTTTTGCATTTATTAGGTCAAGTTAGGTTAGTTTTAGGTTGGCTAATCTTAAGAAGAAATAAGGTGGAGTGTCTACTTTCTAGGTGAAATTTAATCTTACACTTAGAGTTGGGAGGAACTATACTGTGTGTGCAGTGTACTGACATAGTTAATTGTTTTCTCCTCAGGCAAGACTCCTGACGATGACACCAAAATGGTCGCCATCAGTTTAAGACCAGGAACCAAGGTAAACACTATCCACTATTTTTAAAGGACCACTTGATGTACTGTACAATACTTTCATGATCAAAATCCATTAATTTGCTCTTCTCTGACATACCTGATTTATACTGTATATACTGTACAATATATATTTTTTAATTAATAACTATAAATGGTACAGTACTGTACAGTGATACCTCTGTTAGCCGTAACAATTGGTGTAGAGCACTTCCGGGAATGAGAGATTTCCGGGTAACGAGACGACTCTCTCAAACCTGGAAAAATAACCTTCAACCCCGGAATTTTCCTGGTAACGGAAAATTGTTCTCGGAAGTTCCAGAAAGTGCCCATTACATCATCTCTTGAACCAGGAAAAATATCCCCCATCCTCGGAATTTTCCGGGTACACTGTACAGTACTGGAAACATTTTCGCGGAATTTCCGAAAAATGCTCCTAAATTTTGTCTCTCAAACTCGGAAAAACTCCCCCATCCCCGGAATTTTCTGGGTATTGGGAAAATTTTCTCTATATTTTCCGGAAAATGTGTCCTTTGGAAAATTCTGGCTTTGGGAACGATTTTTCGAGAAAATTTCAATTCCGGCTATTGGAGAGTTCCGGGTTCGAGAGATTCCACCTAACAGAGACATTATTACAATACTGTATTTACTTTTATATACAGTGCAGTAATTAAAGATAGGCATGTGTGTGTGTGTATGATAAATTTTTACCTTAACAATTTGTACTTTTCACCTGTGAGATAATGATGATGGGCTCCTTAGAGGCCAGTGTGGAGGAAGTTCAACGCATCCCCGAGGACCTGCCACCAGTCATAAATGATCTCGACATTGAGGAGGAGGAAGTTGCTATTGAGAATCGTTCTGAATATCTATTAAAGGTAAGTCAGTAAAGGCCTGTACATATATATATATAATATACTGTGTTGTCTTTGATAGAAATGAGTGTTGACAAACTGTATTACTTGAGCTATTCAAAGATGAGTCAATACATTACAACAATTTAAAATATAAAATGTAATTACTTTGTATTGGATATGAAAACCAGAATATTTTTGGCTCAGTCTTAGCAGTGAGTCTTTGAGATGGGAAAGAGTCTTAGCAGTGAGTCTTTGAGATGGGAAAGGTTCTATCGGCATTATCTGTCAGGTACCTCTTGTGTCTGTGTATGTAGACATGACCACTGTCGACAAGATTACTCTCTCATTTCTGTTGACATTTGATTGATTTTTGGTGTTATTAAGAGATGTAGAGGACCATTACTTAGCCTTTAACCCTTTAGACGGCAGTGCCACATTTACTGAAGGTACGTATATAATTCTGGCTAACACTGACGATTTTATCCAGGTGAGAGAAACCCTAACCCTCTATAGGTCGTCATCATCAGTGAGTTACAGTAATACAGGGAGTGAGTTACAGTAATACAGGGAGTGAGATACAGTAATACAGGGAGTGAGTTACAGCAATACAGGGTGTGAGTTACAGTAATACAGGGTGTGAGTTACAGAGTGAGATACAGTAATACAGGGAGTGAGATACAGTAATACAGGGAGTGACAGTAATACAGGGAGTGAGTTACAGTAATACAGGGAGTGAGATACAGTAATACAGGGAGTGAGTTACAGCAATACAGGGTGTGAGTTACAGTAATACAGGGTGTGAGTTACAGAAGATAGCCATGAACAGACTTAAGAGATCACCAAGCCATCCATCAACACCAGACTGAACCATCATCATTGTGAACTACAGGTTGAGAAGAGGGTAAAAGAATATGAGGTGAAAATTCTGAACGAGATGCGACCGGGAAAGAAGCTGCTAGTGCTGGACATAGACTACACGCTGTTTGATCACCGGTCGACAGCAGAGACCGGGGCGGAGCTGATGAGGCCTTATCTCCACGAGTTTCTCACTTCGGCGTATAAAGTAAGACCCATAGTGATTTAATCCCTTGAGTACAGTGTTTTAACCCCTTGTGTATACTGTAGTGTCTTAATCCTCTGAATATACTGAGCTATCCCCTTGAGTTCTATTACATTACAGTACTCAGTGGGGCTGACTCAAGAGGTACTGGGTATGAGGTCAGCCTGTGTGGTACCAATGCCCTGAGTCTCAGCATAATGCCACCCGACTTATCTTTAACTAACTAACCCAACCTAAGCCAGTTTGACCCACAGTATGCTACACTATATGTTCTAAACTTTCTTAATTTTTTTTTTTTTTTATAGTGGATTAGTTCATTGAGGACTTCTGTGTATGGTATTTTGTTTTCAGAACTATGATATTGTGATCTGGTCGGCCACGAGCATGAAATGGATTAAGGAGAAAATGAAGTTACTGGGAGTGTCGAGCCATCCAGACTACAAGATCACCTTCTACCTCGACTCTCTGGCCATGATCACTATAGAGACCCAGAAGTATGGGGTGATAGAGGTAAGAGTGGCATAGTGTTTAGCTCACCACCTTTTTGGGCTCCATTTTCATGATTGTGGAAATATTAAGGAAAACATTACTGTGCTGTGTTAGGTGAGTAATGGTGTGAAAATAAGATGTACAGTGAACCCTCACTTTACGCGGTCAATTGAACCCACGGCGGCCCGCGTAAAGTGAACAACAAAACATATGGGATTAATTGAAATAGAGACCGGGCCGACCCCCAAACTCCACTTTTTCAGACACAATACCTACGTTGTAGTAAAAATAACTTCTTAAAATTTTATGATGGTATGCACACACAATTAATAATTAAGAGAAATATCAATAATATTAGGTTTTTTAACACTTACATTAGTAGAAAAGATGGCTGGGCACACGGGGATGGGGTGTTGGTTCCGAGGCAGAGGGCAGATTATTGGCCCTCACCTCTATCACTTGTATCAATTGTATCACTATCCACCACAGAGGCTTGCAGGGCCTCTTTGTCAAACCCCTCAAAGTCCATATAAGTCCATATCCTCACTATCATTATCACTATCACTGACTTGGGCCGGCTGTGGTGGGTGGCGGGTGAAGAACTCGGTAATGTTTTGATGACTGGGCGACCTTGTGCGCACCCTGCTCGCGCCGCTCTCCGCCTAAAAGGGTACACCACGTGGAAAGTGAGCATTCCGTGTTCGGCAGGGTACCGCGTAAACGTGGAAACGCGTAAAGTGGGACCGCGTAAAGCGAGGGTTGACTGTATATGTATGAAGTACTGTACAGCCAGGTATAGTACAGGTGGCTCTCACTCTATACAACTTCACTTAATGCAAATTTGTTATTACAGTGGCCCATCGGTTAATGAACACTATTCGTTCCAGAAAGTTGTTCGTTAACCGAAACCATTGTTTCAATGGGATTTTGGGTAATTGGTTCCAGCTCACCGAAAATTACATACAAAGTAAAAATAAATGCAGTAAAATACACTTACTTTGAGGTGTGTATGTAGAATGTTGCTGGTTGATGAGGATGATGATGATGATGATGATGGGAATTAGAAGTAGGGGTGGAGAAGAAGGAAGAAGAGAAATCACCCCATGGTTCATGCCGTTATTTCACCCATAAAATTTTAAGTTCACTTGGTGTAATTCAAGATTATATTCTTTAAATCAACACTGCACTGCACTATATATTGTCAATATGTAAAATAAATTTCAGAATGACCAATAATTGTACTGTAAAAACGTAAAAATAGTTTATGTTCAAGAGAGTCTCAAGCAAGATGTTACCTCTACTGACCAGAGATAGAAACTGACGCCTGTTTGGTGAGTTGAGTAGCTGTTTGGCGCACTAAAAACTAGTTTCCTGTACTTCAATTATGTTAAATAATTGTTAAAATGGCTAAAAATTTTAATATAAAACTTGGAAAGTTATTGAATAGTACAACCTTCTTGATATTTACTCAAATGGGTATGAATTTAAGCCCTAGAACCGATTACTGTATTGGCAGACTAATATTCCAGTTGGTGAGCAAGCGAAAACATGTTGAGAGGAATTCGTTAACCAAAATTTTTTCGTTAACCGAATTGAATATTCTTATGGAAGGTAATTCGCTAACCGAAATTTCGTAAAGCGAGGCGTTCATTAACCGAGGGACCACTGTATATGAAAACCCCTCTCTCTACCTCTCCCACACTTTATGTAAGAAAAATGTGCAATTATGCAAGTGGCTCGGTTGGTTGGATGTACGAATCTCACGTAACCAGTGTTGATGCATGTGGACTCCCTGTGGTCACGATCATGCTGCCTGTGGTGACCGGCTTTCTGCCTCATGCATTTACAGTATTGTTAGTCATCTTCAATGAGTTATGACCATTTTCGACACTTGAGAGTTAGCCATGATTACCAGATGGCTGGATGTCCTTCCTCTTGTCAACCTACTTTTAGGGTGTAGGAACTAGATATTATATGCAGGACTTCCATAAGCCCTTTTAACTGGCAAGGCAGGATCACTGCTGCCTGAGGTAATTAAAGATTACTTACCTGCTGTACCTGTAAGGAAAAGAGGACACTTGTAGACTGTGAGAACACAGGTCATCAACTAGGCCATCATGTCTCTCTCTCTCTCTCTTTCTCTCTCTCTCAAAAACCCCACATCTATCATGACAAGAGCCACTCTCAGAGCTTTACTTACATAAACAATAAACATAATATTGTGTAGGGAAGCTTCAATAATTTAGATCTCTTGTAATGTTTGGTTCTACCACCTGTCATACCACTGTAGTACAGTATAAAGAAAATATTGAGTAAATTTTGACAAAACAATTTGAAAATTAACAACACCGCTCCTTCTTGCCACCTACTGTACAGTATATACTCGTGTATAAGCCTGTCTCAATTATAATCCCACCCTTGAATTTTGGGGTAAAAAAGCCAGATTTTTTCATATACCTCTTGCATAATTTCACCCTAGCTTATGAGAAATACCAGGTATAATCCTAGACATTTTTTAGCAAGATACCAGACTCACCAACATGTCTTAACTTTGATCACCACCACAACAACCTGCCACTATGAACAGTGTTACCAGTTTTGAAACTGAATTCTCACCAGTTACCAACTACTATATATATAAATTTCACTAGATTCACCCTAAAAGTAGCTGTAACTGTATATTGTAACATCAAAGATTAAATTGTAGGCATAAAAAAACAAAAAGGTACAAGTTAGTGTACACCCTGTGTTACAGTCTCAGAATGCTGGCCACCTGGCCTTGACATTCACCATAGCAACCTCTGCCTACCCTTCGTGACGGTGCTCCCACACTGACCCCTCCTCCTCCACCCAGTCTGGTAACTCTCGCATATGAAGAATTTTTTCCCTTTATGTTTTTGACTGATATTTTTTTCACACACTGTATGTAGGATTGTGTATTACAGTAGGGTCTGGATATATCGCAAGATAGGGCCAAACAATGTTCGCTAAAAACTAAGTCGCGATATATAATTACATGTAATCAATGGGAAAATAGGGTTAGGTTCTGGAGGCCAATAAAAGTGACTACACTTGACTTAACGAGTCCGTTTTCTTACTAACTAAAGCACCATTGAACACTAAACTCGGGAACAACGGGCTATTTCAATATCAAGGAACACCAGCCTCAGGAACACTGGACTCAGCAGCTGACGCACCATCCTGGGAACACCAGACTCGGCAGCTGACGCGCCATCCCGATAACACCAGACGACACACTGCCACCCTCACTTAACAATCATAAACAATCACCAAAAATATTAGTTACAGTATTAAATCATTTCCATTAAGCTATCCATTATCTTCACTTCACTTTTCACGTCACTACCAACCCATTTACACTCACCTTAGAAGTCTTGATCTGCAGCAGTCGGCTGCTTTCTCGTCACTCACTCAGAGACTGAGCGAGCGAGCGTGAATGCATGAGTGAGCAGCCACGGTGGCACCTCGGGTGAGCAAATAACTCTTTTGTTTACCATGGCGGTGCATTTGAAATATTTCCTGCCCGATTTCCCTCGCAAAATAAAAAAAATATCACTATATACTGTACAGTATAGGAAAATTTTGATAATTTTGGTAGCCTCGATATATAAAATTGTTAGACATGTATAAAGTCGCGATATATCCCGACTTTACTGTACATAGCTCACAGCACAGCCTGGTAGCAAGAGGGTTAGGGGGATGTGGCTACAGTGATGAGTCTATGAGTCTAACTTGGTAACAATGCTACCAGCGATGTTAACAGATGCAAACAAAAAGAAAATTATCTGTAAATTTTCATTTGTAGATTTAAAGTGGCATACATAGTGAATGAGGTTCTGTTCTTCATGTATCAACATAAAGAAAGAATCTAAGGGTACTGTAGGCAAGCCCAGGCTAAAGTAGCTTACTGGTAGGGTTAGCCTACCACGAGCATATACTGGGTAGGTATCGTTCACCGTAAATGAGTCATGGAAATGCATGAATTTTAACCACTCAAAAATATTACATGTACAGTATATAGTTCCACCCCCTACTTTATGCATAAAAATGTGATCATAAAAATTCCAACTATACAGTACAGTACCGTGTAGTTGAGCATATATGGTACAGTATGTTTGTTACTGGTTTAGTTGCATTCATATACTACAGTACTTTGAGATATTTTTAGATTAAGCTCAACTTTGCTTGGGTATTCTTTAAGGTTGCAACAAAAATTTTGCAGTGATTAGCATAGACATAGACGTTTGTGGGTTACAGTTGTGTGTGTGTGTGTTAAGACCAGTGAAGGCAGCAGCAGCAGTCAGGGAAGGACATTTGGTGGGAATAAAACAATTGTGGGCCCACTTAACCACCATGCTGAACATTGTGTACAGGGGTTTATACTGTACTGGTATATAAAAATAGTCACATTTAACAGTCTTATAACTGTGCAAAATAATACTGAATAAATTAAGGGTTTACTGTACAGTATATGTTGAGGATAAAGTTTAGGGCTGACTTGGTTTGTGGCCAAGTTTAGAAAAAGTATATAATACTGGAGAACAGTAGCAGATGTGGATAAACTCAAAGAAAGATTGTGAAGTTATATATCTCAACATATGTACTGTACAGTAAACTATATGTACGGTACTGTGTTCTAATTACTATTTCTTGATAGTTCTTAGCTTTTCTTCAATCCTTAATTTATTTTTTTCTTCAGGTGAAGCCATTGGGAGTTGTATGGGGGAAGTACGAACACTACACACAGCAGAACACCATAATGTTTGATGATCTACGCCGCAATTTCCTGATGAACCCCCAGAATGGTCTCAAGATACGAGCCTTCCGCCAAGCCCACCAGAACCGTGCCACCGACCGTGAATTACTGCGACTGGCATGGTACTTGGAGGATATTGCAGAAGTGTCCGATATTTCCACGCTGAACCACAGCAAATGGGAACACTATCGTAAGGACGGATATAATTGACCCACAACTTCGGACCTTGAAGAACGCTCGGGGTAGTACTGCATTGATCTGTGAGGACGATCATTGGTGCTGCTCCACACTTCCTCTAATATGCCATTACTTTCATGTTTGGAAACTAAAGACCAGATAAACTGAAAGGCTTTGTCAGCTGTCACAATGTAATCTAACTGAACAACTATTACCGCTCTCAAAAGCAGAAATTTTTGTCTAACACAACAATCTTGCTTATGCAGTGTTTCACCAGCATGCAATTACCATAACTCTTAAGCTCCCAATCTAAAATATATAAATTGCTCTGACAGGTTTCACACATCTAGCATATTGTATGCATTTTATTTCTAAAGACTTCAGAGGCGGGCTTCAGTGAAACATAGGGCAATACAATAGTTTTTTTTTTTTTTTTTTGCATCAAATCAGCTTACTAATACTAGTTGAGCTTTCAGTACAAAAATTATGTACTGGAATGGTCATAATTGCCTCAAGCATCTCACTATTGATAAGTTAGTCACACACACAGTAATGTTTATGACTCAGATTTCACCAACCTGGTTTTGTGGAAATAAAGCATTTTGATGTACTCGGGATATACTGTGCCATGTAAGTTGTTATAATCATGGAAATTAGAAAGTCACTAAAAAACTGAAAAGCAAGGAAAGGACAAACTTTGGGATGAAAAAAAAATGATACAGTTTTTCAGTAAGAACAATATGAAGTAAATACTCATACATGTAAGTAATGCAGATTAGGTCAGGTTAAGTTAGGTAGGTTAGTTAAATGTTAGGGTACCGTAGAATAGGTTAGGGTAGTTGATGACTTGGATGGCTGTGTGAAGGTAGGTGGAAAAGTAGATATTCATTTTGTGAGGTTTAACTGTTTTTGTTGCCTCTGTCTGGCTGTTGTGGAGCCAAGGGGCAAGTACTGCCTTGATAGAATTTCAAGACAGCCAGCGACCTGTTCTGTGTCATGCTTGTTGACAATCAGACGCCACCACCCAGGATCACACTCCTACACCGGACTGACACATTGCCCGACTGCTATATGACCTTGGGTGACTGGGAGAAACTCACTGCATGTTGCTCAGTCATTTCTCCGGACACACCGCCTGAAAGTGCTACATGGTCTGATTGCAAACTTGTGATGAAAGGTTTGTGAACTTTGAAATTCAGTCCAACTTTACTTGCTTACAGACTTGCAACTACATTCATGAACTTCTGGTGTTTTACTGTGCTATCTGTGTTGTGTTCTCATATTATAGACTGCACACTACTTGCCATAACTTGCTCTCCTATCACACTCTACAGTGACAATGTCTGTACTGAATGAATATATAAGGTACCCCTTGAGATATGAATGTTTGAGATACGAAATTTGCCTGTATGAATTTCCTAAATTGCCGTCTCTTTTTCGTGTTATGAAAGCTTCTGCTGCTCATAAGAATTTGGGTCCCAGCAAAATTTCAAAACACCTGCCCCTGGGAGTCAGCTGGGGTGGCCACATCCCCCTAGTGCTCTTCCTACCTGGCTGAGGTAGGAGTATGTTAGGGTTATTTTTCAACTCGTAGTTTTGGATTGATAAACTTAACTTTCATAATTTTTTTTTACTCGGTCACTCACACACACACACACACACTCTTGCATACATAATGTGCCAAAAAAAAATAATTATCATAAGGTAAAAAAAATAAAGGGAATAAACATTTATTTGTGTGGGAGCGTTGTGGGTTGGCAGAGGCTGGTTCCTATGGTAACACCTGAGGGTGGCTGTGTTAAACTTTGATTTAGTTTTTCCATAATGGTTTTAGCTCATAATTTCATCTGGATAGTATTTTATTAATGTTTTTAATGTGTTAGGTAGTACAGTAAATTACAGCAGTTGTGTACTATTTATCATAAGTTAGGTCAGGTTTTTTCTCGTTTGTGAACCAGTTTCATGTTTTTAGGGTATGATATTGGGGTATTTTTCTCATTGGGGAACCAAACCCTATTTTTTCCATATGTTTTTTATCAAAGATATGAAAATTCACCTCGCGAACGTTTTTTGGAACCTAACCTGTTAGTATCTCGAGGGATAACTATATCACCTTTTTAGGATATATTAAATGTACTACACCAGTGCTTCATAGTGTTGGGGTGTTGAAGTCACTTCAACATGTTTGCTCTCCATGTTCATGACCTCAGACTGTGGCCACCTGGCAGAGTATTTTAGTCAGTCTCATAACATTATTAACCAGTGTCTGTAGGTGAGACATAAGAAGCCTTCGATCTGTGATTTTTCTAATGTCTTGGAGTTTTCAAAGATGACAGTCTTGCAGAAGTTGACCTCAGTATGTTGTGCTTGTTATCAGTCTCATGTTTTTTGTTGTTGTGTTTAACTGGCCTCATATATTTGCATTAAATTGAGTCATGTTGCCCAAGTTTGAAAACAAATTCAAGGAATTTGTACAATAAATTCTGCAGAAATAAGAAATATTAATTTTGCATTGTAAAAAAAAGGTTGATTCCATTTTCAATATACTGGAGCTCTGTAGTGGCTGCCAACATATTGTCAAGTTTTTATTTGTCATTTACGCAATGAATACCTTTCCTTATTGACTGACAGATCTTTTAACCAGCTCATACTGATGCAGCTTGTGACTAACTCTTGGTCATTCATTTATAATACAGTATAGAGAACCCCTTTGAGTGGTTTAGTGCATAGTACCTCTGTCAGTCATGAGTTGGAGCTCCATATGTTGCTGGAGGGTTAATGTGTAACACTTTCTTTGCTTTGGTATGGTATATGTACTCTGTATTGCATTGTACTGTACTGAATTTGATATGAATAGTGAAATCTCTACTCAGGCAATATTCATTGTTGGAGAGATTATAGAAATTGTTGAGTTCTCTGCAGTGTTACCTGTTGGGGTCAGTCTTTCATCAAAATTAATTAAGAACATCGACTTTACTTGTTAAAAAATGTGTAGTGCCCTCCTTGAGCCTATTAAAAGTAGGTTTGCTCAATATCCGTGTGATCTGAAACAAAATGGGTCATGTTAATGATTTTGTGAGGGAGTTCAGCTTTGATATCCTCTGTGTAACTGAAATGTGGTTGAATGAATGGGACATCAATATTATTCACAGTGCTCTTCCCAAGACACATTCAGTCTCTTGATCATGTTCCCAGACCTGCTGCAGGAGCTCTGGGTGGTGGAGTGGTGCTGATCTATTCTGTGGTCCTGTTCGAAGTTACTGTATTAGTAGTGACTGTTTTTTCCTCCTTTGAATTATGGAGGCATTAAAAAATTTTCATCGCCAAGTTATTAGAATTGCTGTTGCTTATCATCCTGGTCACCCAGGTACAGATAGGGAGTTCATGTATGAATTTGGCTTGTTCCTTGAGACTTTCTGAGAAAAGAACAGGTGATGGTTAATCTGTGGTGACTTTAATTATTGGGGTGACAACCCATCTCTGAGTTCTTGGAAATTCTTGATCTAAACAATTTTGTCAATCATGTGTCGTCTCCAACACACACTCTAGACCTATGGGAGGTAGTTTTGTCTCCTGCTGAGTGTGATCATGTATTAGATGTTGCAGTTGTCCTGGTCGATCCAGTAGTCTCTGACCATGCGTTTGTTACTTTTGGTTTTAATGTCCCACAAACCACTTTTTACAGTAAAACAATTACCTTCAGGAACTAAAGAAAGATTGACCAGACCCTGATTGATCAGGAAGTCAATCATTCTTTGAATTGGATCCTTTCCTCTTGTTTTGTTCTTCTGATGAGATGGTTAAATTACATAATGATGTCTTCCAGGCCCATTTCAGACTGTTGTTGTCCAGAGGTCATGAAGAGAATTACAGTACAAGATGACTCTCCTTGGTATGACTCGTCTATAAGTTCTCTTCGTAGGGATCGTAAAAGTGCTAAATGAGAGAGGAGTAAGCAGCGAACAGACCGTACAGGTTGACAACCCTTTATCTGAAATTCTGAAAACCGAAAGTTTTTTTGTGGAGCAATTTTTTTTTTTTTTTTTTTTTACGGGTATTAGCCCACCCGGGCACAGGTCACTGACCCACATCGAAGCCTGGGGGGCGAAAATGTAATAGTAATAGTAATAATAATTATAATAATAATAATACAGTTAACCCTCACTTTACGCGGTTAATGTAACCCGGAGGGTCCCGCGTAAAGTGAGAAACGCGTAAAGTGAATAACATAACATATGGGATTAATTGAAATGGAGTCCGGGCCGATCCCCAAACTCCACTTTTTGAAGACACACAACTATGTTGTAGTAAAAATATTATCTTAACTTTATGATGGTATGCACACACAATTAATAATTAAGAGAAATATCAATAATATTAGGTTTTTTAACACTTACATTAGTAGAAAAAATGGCTGGGCACACGGGGATGGGCGGTTGGTTCCGAGGCAGAGGGCAGATTATTGGCCCTCACCTGTGTCACTTGTATCAATTGTATCACTATCCACCACAGAGGCTTGCAGGGCCTCTTTGTCAAACTCCCCAAAGTCCATATAAGTCCATATCCTCACCATAATTATCACTATCACTGACTTGGGCCGGCTGTGGTGGGTGGCGGGTGAAGAACTGGTAATGTTTTGATGACTGGGCGACCTTGTGCGCACCATGTTCGCGCAGCTTACACAACATGGCGGATGGCAGGAGGTTTGGATCCAAAAATGGCGCGGCTCGCCAGCCGCTCTCCGCGTAAAGGGGTACACGCACCGCGGAATGTGAGCATCCTGGGTTCCGGCAGGGCACCGCGTAAACGTGGAAACGCGGAATGTGGGACCGCGTAAAGTGAGGGTTAACTGTAATAATTATTCATAGTAAATAAAAATTTTAATAAAAAGTACACAAAAATAAAATAAGAAAGATAACAATAATAATAATAATAATAATAATACTGTAATAATAAAATAATAATAATAAAGAAATACAAGAATGAAAAAAAGATCAAAAGTAAGAAACACGACCTAGACCTATAAATTATTATTATTATTATTATTATTATTATTATTATTATTATCATCATTATTATTATTATAATAATTATATTTTAGCCCCCAGGCCCCAATGTGGGTCAGTGGCCTGTGCCCGGGTGGGCTGTTCCCTGTTAAAAATAAATAAATAAAAAAAATAACCATTCTGAAATCCGAAAAATTCCAAAAACCGAAATGCATCTGGTCCCAAGGATTTCGGATAAGGGATTGTCAACCTGTACTAGATTAGCATACAGTATACAAGTATGACTGCACTTAATGTTGTTGTTTGTTCAGTGAGGGCATGCACTGTTGAATACAACAGAAGTCAAGTACAGTAGCCTCATGTGACAGTGACTGTATACAGTTATGAAGGAACTATTATACATTCTTCCACTGTTTGTGTATCTAAAGTAAATAATAGAGGATCAGCATGTGGAAGTTTTACAACAAAAGTATGAATGAGTTTTTATATATACAGTACAGTACAGTATAAGTTCTGCTCCTTGGAATTTATACACCAAAAGTATGATTGAGTTTCTGTATGTATAATAGGTTTTACCTCTTGGGAGTTCTACAGCAAAAATATGATTGACTTGTATTATGCAGAGGTTTTGGATTGTGGAGATAGTACAATACAGCAATGGTGTGGGCACTTCCAGAAACTGTGTTGATCATGAAGAGTGTGTACTGTACAGACCCAGGAGTTGTAACCTCAAAGAGTGGAAGATTGGGTACAAGACAGTGTGTTGCTTTATAATGAACAGTGGGTTGAAGGTCAGAACAAAGGTGAGGAAGGGATAGAGTGAGTGACTGTCAGTGTACTGTAGTGTTATTCTGCACCAGGTGGGACACAGCTTGGGAAATACTCTTACTGTTAGTCAAGTGGATTTATTGCATCATAAGTTTAGAAGGGTTCCTTTTGTATCACATTTATGTGAGTTTTTTTTTTATTGAATATATACACAGCGCAATGCTGTGGTACACAGTGGTCTCCCAAGTTCCTGCCATGGGCAAGTAATTTAACCCCTTCACTACTGAACATCACTTTTAATATTTTACCGTCAAGTTTACTCAGCACACAGAGACCCCTAGTACCTAAGGGGTGAAACATTTTATTATTGTGAGGTAAATTTATTCCTGCAATATAGATTAATTTTAATTAATTTTGTTCCAAATCACTGAATATGTTTTAGATGTTAATTGTTGTTTATGTACAAGAGACAGCCAGTATGGGTATCCTACTTATTACTACTTGTTTGTAGATAATTTAATTTGTTTAGGATTTTGAGAAGTTACTTCAACATTAAGAAAATATATATGGGGTGTAAGTGAATAATAGTTATTATAAAAATCTTAATTTGAAAGA